TAACTTAGTTAATTATTTTTATTGTGTTTGCAAGGTAAATTTCATTTCACATGTTAATTTAATATTGGTAACCATTGCTTGGAAGGCCTAAAAATAATTAAATTTTTATTATAAAGATTTAAATTAGTCTAATAATTATACAATTGGGAGCTCTCCAATTCCACCTCTTGGACTTGTTGTGTGGCATAGGTTTCATCAAGTGGTGAAATTTGGCCTCACACCAAGAATACATATTTCTATCAACAAACATTGTTGCTCTTTAGGATGACTAAAAAATAACATATGGAGTCAAGTTTTTGAATATCATAGCTGTGAGTGTTCCATCTTACCATTTGACATTGAAAATTGAGATTCTTGTGATATTGTTGCATAATTTAGACCTAGTAGGTGGTCTTTGCAATAAAATGCATATGGTAGTTCAATAACTTATCCATTGATTTACTATTGCATAGATTAGCATGCACATTCATGTTGGGCATTTGGTGGATATATCTAGAATCCCAACCAAAACGAGTACTACGCATTGGCCATTTATGCTTATGTATAGGTGGTTCTTTTTTTAGCTTGCCTTCAAAATGACTATAGATAAAGCGTAAGGACAAATTATATGCATTGTTGATCTCCATCTATCACACCATGTATTCACTCATAAATAACTATATGTGGGATTATCACATGCAAGCAATTCAAATATGATATTCATAAATACTTTGCTTGAGCAACAAACAAGAAATATAGTATATGATAAATTGTTAATATGACATTGATCAAGACGTAAGGACTTATGTTGCTTTGAAAAGTTGAAAATCCTTAACACCAAGCCTAAAATGGCAATCATGAGTACTACCTAAATGTGGTGGTGGTTGATTAAACCAACTCAATTAGCAAAGAATTGTTTGGTGAAACAACAAAGGTTGTTTTGTTTTTGTTTTTTATTTAATATTTTTTTGTTGATTCATGTATTTGCAATTTTGTGTCTTTTCTTTACTATTGTTGATTTGTATTTGATTGAAGGCAAAGCCAATTGATTTGACTTCACATAAAAATAAAAAAAATTCCCAAATGGTATTGCTTCAAAGACTAATTTGAAATTGACTTATTTGCAATTGAGATGACGTCATCTCAATTACATAAACAATTTCAGAATCTCCATTCATATTGTACAATTTAGATTAATTTTTATTTTATTGCATTAAGGGGCATTGATTGGCTGCAAAGGGATATTTCACCGCGGGACAGAAAGGAGTGGTGACAAATCAGTAAACATTGAAGGAAGGTGGGGCCCCCGGAATGAAAATGGTTAAAACCCATGCAGTGATGAGTGTGTGTGGCTGTCTGTCTTCCGGGGCTGGATGGTGATAAGGTGCGAAGGGAGTGCAGCCTTCGCTCCGGATTATCCTCCCTTCTCCTGGTCGACAAATTTTCTGCTCCGAATCTCACAGAAAGACCACACCATCCACTTCAGAAACAAACCGATAAAGGGACCCAAAAAGCAACACAGAGATGAACGGCACGCAGATCATTCATCCGAGTCTAAGCGAAGTTTTTGCAGCGGATCCGCGGCTTCGGTTACGAACAGTCGTTAATCTGGACGCTCACAGGCAAGCAATCATTGAATTTGCCGGGCTGAGTCAATCGCCCGGCGCGTTCATCCGTCCATATTTTCAAGGGCCTGGATAATCCTAAATTGTGGTGAGTATTGCTTGCAGCGGTTGCGAGCAGGTGGGAGGACAACCTGGAATACATGCACCCCCATGTATATTTATTCGCATGTGTTAGGCTTGCATCCTCATGTGAATATATATATATATATATATATATATCCTTGGCCTGTTCCCAAGGTCGACAATCCGAAGTCGTGAATTTGCTTGCTCTGCTCTTTGTGGGTTCAGTTGCACTCGTCGCATACAGCGTCTTATTGTATTTCAGCGATGGCGTCTGTTGTGGCTTCCGCTGTTGCTGCTCCAGTTTCCTTGGGCGCTGCCGCATCCTCTGTGGCTGCCTCCAATGAGTCTGCCACCGTCAAGGCTTTCTCTGGCCTGAAGCCGGCTACCCTGTTCTCCAGCAAGACTCAGAAGTTGGGAGCCGTCCAGAATGGCAGCCGCGTGCAATGCATGCAGGTGTGTTCATCCTACCCCAGGATCAAGTACTTTGCAATATATTATTGCTGTTGCGTAGGAACGGGTTTCAAGCGCATGATGGTGGTGGTATTGGGGCTAGGAGGTGGTGTTCTAATGTGGCTCTGCGATTTGGTGAAATTGTGCTCAGGTGTGGAACCCGATCGGACAGCCCAAGTTCGAGACCTTCTCGTACTTGCCCCCACTGACCGATGACCAGATTGCTAAGCAGGTGGACTACATGATCCAGCAGAACCTGATTCCCTGCATCGAATTCGACACTGTAAGTGCAGGCTCTACTTAATCCGCCATGTGCAAGCTCTATGCGTTAGAGTAGATCATTGAGTATGGGCTCTTCACAAGATTGACTCTGCCATGATAAAGAGTATCCCCATGTCCTCAGCACAAAATCGGCAGCTCGTGTTTCGGAGAAGAGTGAGTTGACAACACGGAGAATCGTACTAATGTGGCGCAATCGTGTGTTGGGTCAGGTTGGATCCGTGAGCCGCACCAACTTCTCCGGCGCGGGTTCCTCGGGCTACTACGATGGGCGCTACTGGACCATGTGGAAGCTGCCCATGTTCGGGTGCACCGACTCTTCTCAGGTGCTGAGGGAGATCCAGGAGTGCAAGTCGCAGTTCCCCAGCTGCTGGGTCCGCGTCTTGGGCTTCGACAGCAAGAAGCAGGTGCAGATCTGCGGGTTCTTGGTCTCCAGGCCCAACTAGATTAATCTGCCGAGCACTTGGCCCCTGGATCAGTTAGCAGCTCTAAGTCTGATAAATTGGGAGTGAGTCATTTACATGGCAATAGAGCCTTCTCGAGCATTTTGTATTATGGAATCTTACGATGAAAGAAGATTATAATATTAAGTCAATTATTTTTGCTAGTCAAACGTGTTTGTGAAATTTTGTTCAAAATCCTAACAGTTCCGACACAGTACTGTTCCTAGGAATAATTGTCCAGGAAGATGATGTGGTAAGAATTGTGGAGATGTAGGCAGCTAAAGCTGATCCATCTCATACATTTTGTGCGCGGCTGTCGAACCAGAGAAAGAGTTGAGAATATGTTGTCTTGTTGCAATGAGTATCCGAGCCACTCACGACAACCATTTTTTTGAAAGATAAGACGCTCTGACAGATGTCACTAGCCTCTGAAAGCACAAGATCGACTGTATAGGAGCATGTATACAAAACCATGTGTGTACGTATATATACGTTTGTATTTTATTAATAATCCATGTAATAGTCATGCACAATTTGATAAATAAGAAAGCATTTGCGCCAGACTCGAAAGAGACATATCCCTCCACTCTCATTATGATGTCGCCCACTTACAATGTCAATGAATGTATCAGCTTCTCATCTATAGTAAGGATCATATTCCCGTCAAACCTAAAGCTCTAGGTGAAGAGTGGCAGTGTCAGCAATCCCTCTTTACAGATGTAATTCGAATCAAAATATCTTCGTATGTCACACACTGCTTAAACCAAGTTGTACTTCCTCATTGCGATATTCACATTACGCACAATTAAGGCTCAAGTAATTGAGATATAATCATGGTTAGATGTAGGCAACTTTATTAGCTTGGAAATCAAGGATGCTGGCAAACAGGTAGCCGATAATAGTGCTACTGCATGTAATGCGTGGACGAAGCGAGGACATCAGTTCGAGAAAGCGAACTGCATTCCTGAAGCAGCACAGTATATTCGGGTGTCTTCATCAACAATTCTGTCACCTACACAAAATTGGCCTAAGGTCTAATGCACGTGTAGTTCCAACAGTGAATAATATCGAACAGAAGTGCGACATACTCTGCTCAAGTCAATAAAGATAAATACTTTCAGTGCTCCTCGCGATAATACTGAACCAATCATTCTACAGACCTCACATGTACTGCTGAGTCTCTCGACTGGAGTCACGGCCTTCGATCTGACTACCTTGTTTGTCGAGTGAACATCATCCGTGTGACTTGCGATTACACGCACAATTGAAGGCTTCTCCAAAATCTAAGCACCAAGCATGATGCACGCCACTAAGCCTGACTTGAATGTGTCCGATGCACTAGAGTTATAGAACCGTAATTGTAATATTGGTCGTGCTAATCGGAATCACCAGTAAAGAGGGTGGGGAATGATGATGCCCGTCGGAGTGATGACAGAACGAGGTTGCAACATTGGTTAGATGCCCTTGAGAAAATCTAGTATTGCATGTGTACCCTGCGTTTGGTACTGGAAATATGTTTCACTCAGGCCATCAATCTGAAGCAGATACTAGAAACCCTAGCACAAATCCTCGGGACGATAGTGGAGAATATTCCTTCCCATGATTGGCTACACAACCAACCTTCCGGCTGTCGACAACACCGTCAGTAATGCACACCCAACCAGTATCCATTCCTTACACCACATTCCTTGCTTTAAAAGACGTTTTGCACACCTTCTTGGACAGAAACGTGGAGGGTTTGTCGATCAACGCAGATATACTGCAACGATGTGCTGAGGGCGAGAATCCGAACACCGTGGAAAGAGCAAGAAGTTAACTTCGTAAACCCTAAACCTGGTCTAATCAATGATTGATGCTGATGTTGAACACATTTAATGTCTGGGGGCACGAACTTATGAATGAATTGGAACTGACTCTCCTTTGCGATAGGGGTCTAAAATTTGCAGATAGAGTTGCACAATGTAGATACTCCAAGTGTATGGACACGCAAATCAAGTACTTTCTGAGATAAATGACTACTGCAACTTTCAAGAATCGACACTATTTTCAATCGCTTAAATCTAGACAGTGAGGAAGTCGAAAACAAAATCTACACCGGTCATCATACTCAACCCGAACAGAAAGGATGAAACACCCACATCAACAATACCCACTCGCAAAATTGTGAGGGCAAAACCAACCTCTCCGACCAGGAGAATAAGGAGATGGCACACTATGCTTTAGTTTCAAAAATTAATAGTACATGATAAAACTTTGTGTAATCTACTAATGCATCTACTATGTAACATTGCAAGTAGCTTAAAACTACGAAGCATTCGTTTTCTTCACCACTAATTCTTGTCTTAAATAATTTACAAAAGCCACTTCGTGTTGCACGAGGGTTCCGTCTGCAACCTCCGTCACTGAACACGGAATACTTACCAAGCGTTTGAAGAATCGGTGCGGTGAAAGGAGGCATTCCCAACAGAGGCAAGAAATCAGGCATCTCTCCGGGACTAGTATCATAGAATGGGCTTCCACAAGAGGCTTAAACAGTCACCTCGGCGTGAGCCATATTGTGGGTGCCGGCGGATCACGTCAAAATATCAATGACCTGCCAAGCCTAAGACTAAGTTACATGACCATGCTCTTTCAATATATACAAGAGGCGGGACTATTGTTTACAGAGTTGCACTCCTAGGAGGCAAAAAGAAATTTGTGCGGTGTGTGAAGCTAATGCTGCCTTGACTTGGAGTTGAACAGCTGCATCAGTCGGTGGAAGCCGCCAGGCATCTCCACTCGTGAGCGTTTGCAAGAGCTTTGAATCTCAAGCCTTGACGCTTGCGCCTTCTTGACATTGATCTTCTTCTCCTGCCGAAGGGTGAACTCAAATGAAGAGCACTGAAGGTGCACCACTGTTTGTTGGCCGACTCTTGGTGAATTGTTCTTGAACGGGGAATAGGATCTGTCGCTGCGGAATGAGCCTTCGCTGGTTGTCTTGAGCTGATTTCGCTGGACAAGCGCTACCTGAATCGCAAAGCTTGGGGGAAACCTTGGATTTTGGGCTGCGGCCTTGCACGTCTCGGGGCCCAATTTATGGTAGTTCAACACCTTGAAGAGCCGTGTAGCATCCGTCTCACTCACAAACGGATGTGCCTGCAGGAGTAACAAGCCAAAAATCAGCCTCCAGAGGGAGCCATTTGCTTACGTTCAAATCCTAAAAAAACCACAGAAGGGCTGGTTGTGACAAGATTTGCAACAGACATGAGAGAACAAACCTCGAGAAATATGTCAACTGCTCTGTACAGTCCATCATCCGACTGGCGCGCGTAGTCTGGAAGTGATTCAGCAAGCGCAAGAAATTTTGACGGCTTCAAGTAAGCGTCGGCTGCGATTTCAGCTAAGTACTTGTCCATAAGTTGTCCGACTTTCAGCAACGACGTTTGCAGCGGTGTGCTGATCTCAGAACTCAAGGCGGTTACCGGGGCTGATACCCTGCTGTTAGTTCGTGATAGTAAAGAGAACCTGTTGTCTAATCTCGATGAATACAAGGATTCACAGCTCTCAGATCCTTTGCAATTCGAGGTGAGAAACAGTGCGTCAGCCTTCTCTTTGAGGAAGAACTCGACCAGACGCAGAACAAGATCAACGTCGTACAACGAGGAGCTACGTGGAGGAAGGGCTGGAATCAAAATGTTGTCCAGAGTTGCCTTCTCCAACTGCCTTCCGATCATGCGCTCTAGGTCCCTCCTGCAATGTTTCCCTGCTCTAACAGCGACGGCAATTCTCCGGAGCTCAAGCAATGACCTACAAGAGACCGATTTCCTTTCGAGATTAGCCAGCAGATTCACAACTTCGACTACTTCGCGTTGGATTCTTTCACCATGATTGGACGAAGTGTCTTCATCACCATCGCCGTGAGGCTTCATGGGGGACAGAGACGTGGCGCTGTAACCATGCACTGGCAATGCAGAGATGATAAGTGCATCTCATATAGTTTTAAGTGCACGATATTGCCAATAAATTACTAACTTGGCGCATGTTCTCTCTACCCATAAAATTCTGCCAGCTTTGAAGATTTTGGTTTTATACCTAACAAGTAATTTTGACATAAACTCATAAGCATATAATAAACAATATATTGAGTAAGTACTTCATATGTAGGACTGCAAAGGATTATTGCAGAAAATAACAATAACCAAGCTTGAAATAGTAATTAAATACATATATGTTCAAGTAAAGATTTCATAAAATCGAAAGATTCCATAATACAAAATGCTCGAGAAGGCTCTATTGCCATGTAAATGACTCACTCCCAATTTATCAGACTTAGAGCTGCTAACTGATCCAGGGGCCAAGTGCTCGGCAGATTAATCTAGTTGGGCCTGGAGACCAAGAACCCGCAGATCTGCACCTGCTTCTTGCTGTCGAAGCCCAAGACGCGGACCCAGCAGCTGGGGAACTGCGACTTGCACTCCTGGATCTCCCTCAGCACCTGAGAAGAGTCGGTGCACCCGAACATGGGCAGCTTCCACATGGTCCAGTAGCGCCCATCGTAGTAGCCCGAGGAACCCGCGCCGGAGAAGTTGGTGCGGCTCACGGATCCAACCTGACCCAACACACGATTGCGCCACATTAGTACGATTCTCCGTGTTGTCAACTCACTCTTCTCCGAAACACGAGCTGCCGATTTTGTGCTGAGGACATGGGGATACTCTTTATCATGGCAGAGTCAATCTTGTGAAGAGCCCATACTCAATGATCTACTCTAACGCATAGAGCTTGCACATGGCGGATTAAGTAGAGCCTGCACTTACAGTGTCGAATTCGATGCAGGGAATCAGGTTCTGCTGGATCATGTAGTCCACCTGCTTAGCAATCTGGTCATCGGTCAGTGGGGGCAAGTACGAGAAGGTCTCGAACTTGGGCTGTCCGATCGGGTTCCACACCTGAGCACAATTTCACCAAATCGCAGAGCCACATTAGAACACCACCTCCTAGCCCCAATACCACCACCATCATGCGCTTGAAACCCGTTCCTACGCAACAGCAATAATATATTGCAAAGTACTTGATCCTGGGGTAGGATGAACACACCTGCATGCATTGCACGCGGCTGCCATTCTGGACGGCTCCCAACTTCTGAGTCTTGCTGGAGAACAGGGTAGCCGGCTTCAGGCCAGAGAAAGCCTTGACGGTGGCAGACTCATTGGAGGCAGCCACAGAGGATGCGGCAGCGCCCAAGGAAACTGGAGCAGCAACAGCGGAAGCCACAACAGACGCCATCGCTGAAATACAATAAGACGCTGTATGCGACGAGTGCAACTGAACCCACAAAGAGCAGAGCAAGCAAATTCACGACTTCGGATTGTCGACCTTGGGAACAGGCCAAGGATATATATATATATATATATATATATTCACATGAGGATGCAAGCCTAACACATGCGAATAAATATACATGGGGGTGCATGTATTCCAGGTTGTCCTCCCACCTGCTCGCAACCGCTGCAAGCAATACTCACCACAATTTAGGATTATCCAGGCCCTTGAAAATATGGACGGATGAACGCGCCGGGCGATTGACTCAGCCCGGCAAATTCAATGATTGCTTGCCTGTGAGCGTCCAGATTAACGACTGTTCGTAACCGAAGCCGCGGATCCGCTGCAAAAACTTCGCTTAGACTCGGATGAATGATCTGCGTGCCGTTCATCTCTGTGTTGCTTTTTGGGTCCCTTTATCGGTTTGTTTCTGAAGTGGATGGTGTGGTCTTTCTGTGAGATTCGGAGCAGAAAATTTGTCGACCAGGAGAAGGGAGGATAATCCGGAGCGAAGGCTGCACTCCCTTCGCACCTTATCACCATCCAGCCCCGGAAGACAGACAGCCACACACACTCATCACTGCATGGGTTTTAACCATTTTCATTCCGGGGGCCCCACCTTCCTTCAATGTTTACTGATTTGTCACCACTCCTTTCTGTCCCGCGGTGAAATTCATTGCTTTCATTGGCTTATTATTTTTATTTCTTTTTTATTTTTATTTTTATTTTTAAAATTTGGCAATTGGGATGTAGAGTGTGTTGAGTGGCAAAGTAAGTAAGCATATATATATATATATATAAGTATATACATATAAACACGTACATATTTTGTATTTTTCATTTTTTTTTGGGTAGATGCCATCATTTGATGACCATTTTATAGGAAGAGCATAGTGGTCCAAATCCAAATCTTGTTAGAATATGGACATTTTGATTGCAATTGTAAGATTGATTCTATTGTTTGTATTTAATATAGAGGAGAATATTGACATAAATGTGTTCCACTTTATTCATTTTTTTATTAACTACCACTTCTTTGTGTCAAATACACTATTTTAACACAAATGTTTTAGAGGTTTTAATTTCAAATCTCATATCTTTTTGTTTTTTGTCTTTTTTTATTTTTTTTGTTAACTATTTTTTTACTAAATATTTATTAATTTTTTAAGAGAAAAAATAATGTCAATTGGAGGTTTCTTCTTTTGATATAATAAGTTATTATTTACTTTCTAAATTCTTACATGTAAACAATTAGATTAAAATTGAAGCACACTATATGGCTATAGAATATATAAAACCTTATTTAAAAGTCTTTCTTTATCTTGAAAATATCAACAGTTCAAATTATCCATGTGAAGCCATCACTATTTAGGATATAAGTAAATTCTCTAGTGATTTGTTTAAATTGTAATATTTTTTATACTTAGTAAAGATTATAACATTAAACTCCAACTTAAACTTTTTTCACATTATATCCTCGAAACATGCAGAATAGTTGATTTTACTAAATAATGATAAGAATATGAGTAAAACTAAAATATTGTAGACAACAATCAATTTTTTATTAAGTTTTGAGTCACATATAATTTATCTTGATGATGTAGATTTATAACAAGTTGATCATTTATATGTAGTTTTTTAAGATATAAATATAATTATTATTTTTCAAATCTTTGATCTTACCTAATGGATCCAAGTTTTTGTAATCACATTATATTTTTCATGAATAAGTTTAGTTTTTACATATTAATCGACTTTGATTTTGTAAAATCCATTTCTTTATTATAGAGCCATCCTATCAAATAAGATTTGAGTGTTCCAAATTCCACTAGATTAACTTGTTTGATGTATTGTAGACAAACATAGGAATTTTTTGTTGAAGAAATGCTACTAGTTTAGTCTAAAATCAACTTATTCTATTCCAATTTTTTATCCCAACATACTTAAAAGTACCCAGTATTTTATTTTATGTTACTTTTGATTTTATGAATCTAAACACACATCTATAAATACTTTACATGTTACATTCATTTGGCCATAAAGTTTTAATAATCTATTCAATTATGAATGTAAACATAAATTTCTATAAATTAACAATGTCTGTGCCTCTTGCAAATGTTTCTAAGCAACGTAGGTGCCAAACTATGTTGATATTTAAACTTATATGAATGCCTCTTCATTAGATGTTGCATACTTTAAATTAAATATTTTTTAAAATTATATATATATATATATATATATATTATTTTTTTTGTAATCCAACCTACATTAAAGTAAAGAACTGTGTAGAAGAGAATAATTCATTATTTATGAAAAAAATTATTTATACTAAATTCAAATAAGTAAATCATTTGTAGATTTTTTATTTATTTAAAAATTTTAAAATTAGAAACTAATTTACATCTTCGATTTGTAATATTAGTCCAAATAAATTATTTAATATTTTAATAAGTTTATTCTTTTGAGACTAACTTCATCTTAATGTAGGCATCTAATATAGTTTTGAAGTTAATGTTTTCGCCAATAAACAATTAACTTGGCCAATGTAATTTCTATCCTTGAAATTAAGCTAAATTTGAAGAATTTTTTAATGTACCAAATATAATGCTTTCAACATAAAGTCATAAGAATAAAATTATTCACAAAATGAATTAAAACCTGATGTATATAGCTACAAAGAATTATTGCAATAATATAATAACATTAAATCTAAAAGTAATTTAATAATATTAAATCTAATTACTACTTGAAGTAATAATTAGAAAAAATTTGAATTTTAATAAATTTTCAAATATATCATGCTATTCTTTTCTTTACCCTTGTATGTAGGAAAAATACTTTTTACTACAAAGCACATTCAATAGAACCTATCTAATTAGATATATGCACAAACTCTCCAAATCCATGAAAATCCACCATGCCAACCATGGGCCTATAATCAAAATATACAAGTCTCTCTATTTGCTTATTGCATATTTTTTTCTACGGTCCTATCTCATTGAATAAATGCATAATGTCCCAAATGCAAATTCTTATATTTTTATTCATAAAAATGAAAAAAATGAAAAAAAAAAATCCTTATTCTTTTAAAAGAAAATTAGAAGCTACAATGACTATCAAACATATCCAAACTATCTACAAACCATTAAAAGAAATAAGAAATTGGCTTTTGGACCAGTTGCTTGTTCTTGTGGGGAGTAGCCTTGTTCATTCATCTTTATGATGCTAGAAACGAAACCTAAGATTCTTCATATTGTTGCATTTAGAATGTCTCCAGAGGGTAGGGTAGTGTGTAGGCAGAGGTTAGGAATAGGGGATTTCATCATGGAGCAAGCTCCGGTGCAGGTGAGACTGTTTTCTGCAAGTGTGGGCCAATTTCAGTTCCTCGAGCTGCGATGTGTTGTTGATATGATGCTGAATTAATGCATCCATCAAGTTGCACATCAAGTTGGCATTCTCACAGTCGTCGCTTGGATAATTTGCCCCAAAGAGAGCGCGTCTCTTTTCTTTCTCGTTTAGCTCCGTCGATGCTTTGCTTCTTGAATTGGGGGCTGTGAATCTTCACGCTGCGAACGAGTGATCTGCTACCAGATCAGGTTAATTGTGTCGCGGTTTCTGTTTGTGGGTTTTTGTTTGGTGAGCTGATCGAATGCCAAGGTTCGTGCATCTTCTACATCAAGTTTTTTTTTTTTCTCTCTCTCGACATGGTGAATTGTAACGAGCGATCTAGGTAATGTAGCGTGTTTTCTATTTTTGCCCGATCATGGTCAGGGGCTGCTGCCCATGTTCTTACTCCTAGTCTTGCTCCTGGGGTTGCCCGCTTGTTTCGGTTGCCTTGAACAGGGGTTGTGTGTAGCTGCATACGTTGAAGAGGAAGACGGTGTGTGGGTTTGGTTGTGACTATGGCGCCTCGACTGCAGCCTTTCTCCCCACGATCGCCAGTGCTGCGTCGTACTGCCGCAGCAATGGCCAGTCTTTCAGCCCAATTTTCGAACCGCAACAATTTGGTCGTTGCACTTTGTGTGATTGCGCTTCTTCTCGTCGTGCTTCATAGCGGGCCTGTGAACCTCTCTGCGCTCCCGCTCTCTCCGACATTGCCACAGGATGCCAGTCGCTGGGATTTTCCGGTGTACTCGAAGACTTTGAGTCCCATGCGAAAGGTTTTGAACGGGACGGAGTATGTGTACCAGGTGCCACCGAGCCCTAGGGCTGTGATTTTTTTGGCGCACGGATGCAATTGCAAAGCGACTTTCTTTTGGGACAAGCACCCTGAGTGTCAGACTTGTTGTGGGGCGCCGGAGGAGCGGGCGTTCGTGATTGAGGCGCTGCGGAAGTCGTATGCTCTGATTGCAATTTCTAGCCAAAATGAGTGCTGGCAAAAGGAAGACTCACGGCGAGCGAAACTCGTTTTGGAGAGCTGGATCGACGAGTTTACCCTCACGGAGCTGCCGTTGTTAGGGTTAGGTGCATCCTCTGGAGGCTATTTCATTTCAAGTTTTGCGAAGGTCGTCAGATTCGACGCCATTGTCGTGATGATTGCGGAAGGAAGGTTTCAAAGCGTCCCAGATTCACTGTATCCACCGGTTCTATTTGTGCATATGATCAAGGATGAGATGAGGGCGAAGAAGATCCGGGAGAGAATTCCAGTCTTGAGGAAAGCTGGAATTGAAGCAGATGAAATCCAATGCAAGGAGATCAAAATCAGTGATGACTTTTTCGCGAAGCGGATCCCGTACATTGATGTCCCAACGTCAACGAGATTGCGTGAATTCTTCCTGCAGTCTGAATATCTAGATAAAAGAGGTCATCTGAAGATGGATGGCAGGCTAATGAAGTGGAAAGCAGAAATGAGGAGTAAAGGCGGTCAGGAGCTGCTGGAAACTCTCTCCCGGAAATCTGGTAACTGGGAGCACCATATTTGTGAAGAGCTCAACGTCGCGTTTTCTTTCCATGAATTCACGAGCCGACCTACTGGGAAGATCATTGCGTGGTTGGAATCACATGTCAAAATGCCTCCCAAGATTACCTCGGAGAGTTGGAGATGAGCATGTAGAGTTTTGGCCCGAAGGTGGGGAATGGAAAAGCGTGCAGGACGATCGATAGCGCGTTGCATTCGGAGCTTACCGCTTCCAACAAGCATGAAAGCTACAGAAGAGAATAGAGGCGAATTTCAACGGTATGGATTACTTTTCTATACATAATTCTGGACAGTCTCGGCACTGTCAACCTAGTGTTACCCGAGTTAGAAAACAAAACTATCTCGTTTTCACAATAGATGAAAAGTTACAAAGTTGAACAAACCGAAATGCTGGAGCATACACTATTTGTCTAGTATTCCATCCTCATAGAGCCTTGTAGGCCACGAAATAAATGAAATTGAAAGCCATTTTCAAAACCAGTAGCATTAACTCTAGAACCACTGATGTTCGCAGACCTTATTTCAAACACGTAGACTCGGGATCTGTGAGTTTAAGGATCTGCTCGGGATAGATCGTAACAGAATTCACCAGAGTGAAAATCTCGCAATTAGCAGCAAAGGAATGAAAAACTTCTCCAAACTTGGTGCATTTGCTGCCAACAATCAACGATAGTCAGACGGAGAGAGTAAGCACAAGGTGTCCTTCTCTGCAGCCTATTTTGCTGTACCAATTCTCAAATCATATGCCATTTCGGCACACGTAAATAACCAAAAACCACTTCCATTCTGTCTCAGACGTCCATTGTCGAAGTGGCATGACACAGAATTTAAAAGGGTCAGATACAACATCCCGTCGAAGAACTCACGAATTGGAAGTAACCCAAGCCAGTGGCTCTTATTTATTTATTTATTTTCTTCTACATTTCACTAAATGTGTTGAATCTTTAGAGATTCAGTACTAACACTACTCAGAGACCTGAAGGTTGAATTGTACACGTACAGAAGGTTATTCCTTGGCGTTTATAACCGATGGATAATTTTTGCGGTCTTGGTACACAAGCCCAAAATGATCCTTCGCCTGTGGGCTCCTGAGATTACTCCCAAGAACCCATATTGGGTGAACTTGCTCGCCATATAACCGCATTAGCTGATCGAAGTATATTCCCATCGCATGATCATTCTCTGGCAACCTAATGTTATCGAAATGCGCAAGAAAGCCCCCAGCCTTCCACTTCGTGAGAGCAAACGCGTGTGTGCACGCTCCCGCGCAGCGCTTCCCTTCAACCGGCGGCGATAAGACGACCTTATCTCTGCACAACCTCGGTCCACAGATTCCAAGGTACAGCATGCCATCCCCATCCGCGACCTCCAGTCCCCGAGCTATTGCGTCTCGGGCGAGAGTTTCCGTCAGGAAAGGATGAACCGCTATGTCGTCTTCGAAAAAAAACCGCCACGTGCCTAGGTCCGCGGTTGGGTCCGCGACGAACTGTTGGAACAGTTTCGTGAACGCCATTCGGTTGGAAAACGTCTTCTTGTGTCTGTCGATGAGGTATTTGTCTTCCCCCCTGAGAAACGTTTTCATTTCCTGAAGTACCGCCTCGGACTTGTAATGCGGAGGAATGTACTGGTGTGCTTCGATTCCCAGGATGTCGAGCGCGCCTTTCGAGTTATTGAATCGTTGGGCTTTGTTGCTGACAATGTAGCCGTGTAAAGGTTTGTAGTCACGCCTCGCGAAATAGTCGTCGTCGTCCACATTTGGCGACGTCCACTCTGTGCTTACATCCAAGATGGGTACATCTTCGCCTGTATCCACGATCACAGCTTCTGGCGGGGCCCTAAACTGGTCTTTGAACGTTGTCGAAGTGGATCGAACAACGGATCGTGTAACAGTCACCGTGGAAGCAAATATCCCGAAGAATACGAGAATGACAACTATCTTTGTCACCGGCACGAAGCTCATGGCTGCTTGAGCATTCGAGGGCGCCATGGACAGGATTCCCATCGTAAGCGGATGAAATCACTGCACAACACAACCATCCACAGCCCAAGGGGCTTGTTCAAAGTCATGCAGATACAGAATTTCGAACTACGGTCACTGAAATGTTGAAGAGTGCGAAGAATTCTCTAGATTCAGCCCCTTAGCTTATCCAATTCTACGGCGAGAAAAGAAATCCCTTCCATACACACGCTGGATTATGGCAATCCAAATACTTTAACCGGGCGACCCACTAAACATACCACTAACAAGGCGAGAAAGAAAGCGGATGTGGAGTCATAAATATTTATCTTCCTCACTTTTACAAAATTTCAGTTTTTGCATCACTCGATAATGGAACAACACACATACCTTCATGTTATTAAGACCACTGGAGTGCAGGGAACAACTGTTAGGCTGCTGCTGCAATCTCTATAAATCTTTTCGAGTCAACACTTTTGGGAAGACAAACTCGCCAGCTACTTCGTCTCATACGCAGACCATCGTCGATTTCTTGGTCGGAAGTTGAGATCCGTGGTCCTAACCTATGCGTTTCGCACACCACAGCGCAGCTGAACAAAACATCTTCAATCTCGTGAGAGGAAGCAACAAACGAAGATCAAGTGGTCGTCAAAAAGTCAAGAAGAACAGCAGAATGGTTTGTGTGATTGTTACCATTTGAAATTTTGACTTGATTCGGGATTTGTGAGGCACATCTTTTTGTGTGAGAAACCCCTAGGAGTGTACTGCTAGCATCAACACTGAGCTTAGGAGAAATCTTGGTAACGAGAATGCTGATGGCCTGGACAATTGAATCATCAAAAGAAAGACCAATTTGGAAACTCTGCGAAGCACTTAAAAACCGTAGTTGGAATAAGATTGAGGTTCTACACACGGAGTTCAATACGAGATTCTTGTATTTCATCGGCTAACAAATACTGCAAGCGGTGTGTTTCACAGCGCTCCAGTGAGATAAACCCATTTCCGTCAGAAGCCCGGGTGGCTGAGAGTCAAGACACGACGGTACTAATTATTTCAGTCGCAGCAAAAACTAGTTCTGCGTTCACTCTATCTAGTTGATTAAAACTACCCACAAGACACAGTAACCCGGTAAAATAAATTCATACAGAGACTACTCTTTGGGCTAATCAAAGCTAAGATTCAATCGAGTGCGTGGATAGACGCTAGAAATGAATACCTCGCAAACGACTGACAGGACTGATAGATTAATACCTAAACGGCACTCACGAAACCGACACAGAGAAGCGAATTTTTTCACCATCATCTAGTGAGGCACACCACGAGCGCGCTCCTAGTCACTAGCACCCACCAACATCGACGCAACGAAACGTCGAATTCAAGGGGAAAAAAAGATTGAAGCTCCAGAGATTCTTCCAAAACGGAGCTTCAGATGGTGAATCGCAACAAGCGCAGGGAACATACGACGCACCTGCAACCAGAGTCGTCCGACGAAAGTTCCTCCGCCCGCATACTAGGATAGGGGTCCGCATCCACCTCACAATGATCCAACCCTGGCCTCCACGATAAAATCAAAATCAAAAATCAAAATCTACTCAGCACTCCCTCACTGTCCCTCCTCGTGGGGCGAAACTCAGGCCTGAACTGATGATCAGGGCAAAGCCATCACAAGAGAACAAGCCCACATCTGTGACGCAGGCAAACATCAGCTTCCGGATCCCACGGATTCAGACCAGACTGGACACAAGGTTATCTGACCCTAGTGGTACATACCGCGAGATCCAGGCCGCACAAACAGGAGTTGGGGACACGCACTGCTGTTGCGGTGCATGGCCGCGATGACCCACCTCCCCCAACTCCGCCCCCACCCCTCACAAACACACACACAGAAGATTCGCACTCCCTCGGTCTCTCCCTCCTTCCTTTCCTTCCCTTTCCTGAAAGCAGGTCCTGCTTGCCGCCTGCCAGTGTGTTCGGTTTTGAAATCACTTTTTTATTACTTATATATATATATATATATACATTTTTATTCTTCTGTTTTTTCATTCTGTTTTTCCGTCTGTTTATTTTCCTGCTACCGCCGGCTGTGGATGCTACACTTCCTTGTGTGCACATCAGATGCTTTTATCCGCAACGCCGCAAGCGATCGACGGTTACTCATCCATCTCGTGCCGTGTGCTCAGATGCAAGAGCCCCCCCTCCCCCGTTTGTTGTGGATCCACAATCCATCCGGCACTCCTCTTGTAGCCAGCTTTCGGAAAAGCTTCGGTTGGCCCAACCCCGACTTTCCGATGTATCTATCTATCATCACCATCGTATCATCCGCTTTCAAGTGGTGGTCCAAAAGGGACTTTGCCGGACTACGACCCACCATTTTGTTTGAGAGTGAGAGAGAATGAGTGAAAGAGAGAGATGTGTTCTTCCTCTGGGGGCCTCCACGTCGGATTTTCATCCAGGTGGCACCACTATTAGGTGATGACACGTGGATGGGTACTGATACTGTGGGCTGGTTGACAATTTGCACATGGGGGTTGTGTGGGCATCCAGAACAATGTTTTGCAATTGTAGAATAATGGAATGTCACTATGTCTAGAAGATCAACAGCTGTATGTATGTATGTATGTACGTACGTACGAGGGAATGTTAAATAGACTCAGGTTTTTACTTGATCTACTCAAACTAGCCTCTAGGGGCACAAACTTCTTCAACTGCCCAAGTGACAATGTGAGCTTGTGAGGTTGACAAAATGCTCCCAAAGTGATCCCTCTCTGCATTTCTATTTTGAGTTGAAAAGGGGTGCAACAAAATCTGTGTAGTCCATGGTTTGGGCCTTATATGAAGACTAAATAAGGAATATTGGTGATACCTTATCACCAACAAGGGTAAATTTGCTATTATCACATATTTGAGAGGTATATATGATATTTTTCCTAAAATCTTCAACTTGATAATGGATTGATTAATATTTGTAAATATAAAATTCTTTTTCATATATATATATATATATATATATATATTAGTAATAGCTTTAAAAATAATCAAAAGAATTTATATTTCTATATATTTTTCATGAATAAATAAATATTCAATTATTTTGAATATATTAATAGAGTTTAAAATTATGTTGATCTACTAAGTAATAATATTTGTATTGATTTTAATGAGTCATAGTCAATAAATTGTAATACCTTTTTTCTTTTTTTTTTCTTTTTTTTTTGTCTTTTTGTTGAAGAAACTGGGGAATCTTTGAATTTTTTTGGGCACACAGGTAATTTTGTTTTGGGTACAAATAGCAATGGCTTGTTACTACTTGTTTCAATTGCACCAATACTTTAGGGTTGCAGTGATAGGACATGAAGTACCTTCACCACATTGACAATTCTCACGTGTTAACATTTCCTTTGACAAATGCCCTTCTAGCTAAGATCCTGCCTTTGATGATTGAAAAAGACTAGTTAAATAATCTTCCTTGGTAACTAATCATTGAATACTTGAATTTTCTCAATAATAAAGCAATAACACAATTCGGTGTAAGCTTAGGCTGATATAGGAAGTTTGTGATGCAAGGGCCCTACAAAAAGAAACCAAAAAAAAAGGAAACTAGTGATGACTTAGAGCTTATAAAGCAGGTCAAAAAAATTGGGTGGTCAGTGGTTTCTTTTGTCTTTTTTTCACGGTTTCTTCTCCTAATTTTTCCTACTTTTGGCAACTAGAAAAAAGATGGAGAAAAGAAGGCTCAGGTGCTGTTGCAATTTTATGAGTTATGAGATTTGGATGATTCTATGTCATTTCTGCATACCAATCCCTAGAGAATAATAATGCCTGAAGCAGATGAAGTAGAATGCATGAAAGAAGAACCTGGTCATCTATTTATGGAGGATTCTGCCAATGCCCATTAATTTGAGAACCTGTGTAAAGGGTAATAGAAAATACCTCAACTTTGGAATAACTATACATTTGGATAAGGACATCTTATTTGTGTTTGCCTGCTTTCAATTTGTGTGTTGCTAATGCCACCACATTTACTGCTACTACCACCACAACACATTAATCACCCAAATATTTAAATAATTTAATTAATTTAATATACATGTTTTGATATATATATTTTTTCTTGTAATCAATATATATATATATATATATATATATAATTGACAAAGAATACAAGTGGCTTGTGATGAATGGTGGATTGTGGTGGCAGTACCTTTCAATTTTAGGTGATAAACAACAAGATTGTTATAGATTCTTTACTCTAATAACTTGGATGCACATGATGTTTTAATCACATATTTGTATTTAAGATTATAACTCAGCTTTGGGCCCCTGGGGATTTCATAAGCTGGTCACTATTGTGATACACTTCTGTTCTGAGTTTATAATAAATAGTGTTTCACCTGACATAGTTGGGATGCACACACAATTAGGATTGTAGAAGTGGGTGTGAGGTGTGAAAATCTGAGTTTATTTGGATAATGTAAGTCAATTTTATACAAACTGCACTTGCAACATGTACTTTTTGGATATCAATGATATCTATTGCATTTAACCAAAATGAATTAATTTTTGCTATTATCAAAAATTTGAGGGGTATTTTTTCTATTACCAAGAATACAGGGATATTCTTGATATTTTGGCATATTTTAGGGATATATATATATGATATTTTTCCAAGATTTTATTTATCAAATTTTGAAAGAAACACATATTCTAAAAAATTAGAATACAACTACAAGCATGCTCTAACTTTCCAGCACTTTTTATATATTCTTAACCTTAATATTAAAATTTAGTAACAAGCCAAAGTTATACACAATTATATAATAAAAGAAAATCTAATTTCATAAAAACAAGCTCACAAGCAATACAATTCAATATTCACTTGCAATCAAGTAAGTCCATGCTTCTCCTTTATTATTTTATTTTTATTTTTACATTAATAGGCTCTTCAATTTGAAAGCTGTTAGACAAGACATGGTGTGTAGGCCAACTCATATTCCTTTAAAAGCTCAATAGACAAGTGCAATCGAATTATATATTGATGGGAGGTGTTGGTAACACGGTATTGCTACTTTCATCCATCCATCTAATCTGAATGAAGCAGTCCCCCATTGTCACTGATGTGCTCAGGTTGAATCAGCATCTCCATACATTTCCCCTTTTTCCTTAATAATAAACAAGTGTGTCCTTCTTGCAACAATTGTTTCTTTGGGCTGCCCCAATATGTGGGTGAGTGCCCACTTGTTAGAATTAGGGCTAAGGTTGAGCAAAAGGACTTCAGCTGGGCAAGACCAGAAAGCACATTTTGGCATGCTTTATAAAAGGATGAAGCTATCAACGAATGGCAAAGTTACATTAGGTCTAGCTGGGACTAGATGCTCACTGTAAACTCTCTACTTCCATCTGATGGAATGCCAGAATATTGCATTTTTGAATAGCCTGAATATTATTCGAGTCTGAAATAGTGGTGAACCGCCCAGCTAAAGATGAATTCACAGAATCTTCCATTCCTGGAAAACGAGGATTACCTCGAGAGACTTCTCTAATTCCAGCAGAATTCACAAGATCGCTGCTGTAATATACTATGAAAGAGAGAAGGGCCAAACGCAGCATAAGCACCTTCGTGGCAAAGATAACCCTCGGAAAGCTAAATGGATGTGCGAGTCGCACTTCATGGATAATTAACTACCATATATGAAATAATACCACCTCTGGCAACACCACGAGCTTGACCGCAAGCAAAAGAGAAGAGCAGCAAGAGCAACATGAGAACAAAGTACCAGTAATACCAGACTTGCAGATTATCAATTTTGGAAGAGGATGAGTGTCGGTGGCGGTGATTTGTAGATGGTCTCACTGCCTCAAGTTAGTTCCAGGAGTGCCTCTTAGTTGCAGTGTAAGACCGATTGTGAAGAATGTTGAGGCGAGGAACACTAAACTCAAGTGCGTCAAAAGTTATGATCATACATATAGAGATTCAATGTATATATATAAACGAAGAGTAATGACCATAAATATGAAGATTCCTTTGGTATGAAAGGAAAGGCAGCAGCATATCTCATTGGAAACATGAATGAATACTTGATTTCACAACACAAAAAAAAAGAGTATATACAAGTAACGTGAAAATCCCTGTAATCTTGAAGGATAAATCTCTGTAATCTGTGAAGGATTCTACAAGGTAATTTTTCAGAAACCCAAATCCTGTTGTCTTGAGTTTGAACTCCCTATTCAAAACTCGCGGGACAGTTCCAAAGGAGACCTAGCAAGTTCAAGCTAACGTACTTATACTTCGAGATACGTTGGGTATGGACTACGCCAGTTCCAACTCACAATGCTCACTCAACCACACATGGTCAATTTGGCCTGATAATCCTCAAGGATGCTATGAACGTGAGGCCTCACTAGGGCCACGGCGAGTGGAACCGAATGCGGGGTTTTGAGAAAAAATCGTTGGTAAAATGCCGGAAAATACCTAGGACCTTCAACCACGGTGACAATCTGGTGGAGAAGCGCAAAATACTTTTACGGTCAGATCAAGAACGGCTACAAAAATTCATAGGACCGATGAAATCTTCAATTTACCAGCTCTAAATGTGAAAGGATTCAAAGCTCTTCTGCATCTAAAGCAACATTTTCATCAACAGTCTCGTCTGAATCATGCTCTTCCTCTTCTTGTTCTTCATCCTCTTCGTCTTCATCGCCGTTAGCTTCTGGATACAGCTGAGAAGCTACTTCACGCCCTTGCAAGTCTTTATGTTTCAGATTACCTGAAAACGATGATACACAAAGTCCGTTTATATTAATAAACTAGACATTGTGAAACGATTCGAGCATAACCAGCGATCACCTCATTGACGACTTTTGTGGATATCTAGGCACTAAAAAGACTACTGATTAAAGCAGCTAGGAAAGAAATCAGGGAGTTCTGGATACAACATTTTTTTTAAAATTAAAATAAATAAAGGAAAAAACAAATAAATCTTTAGACAAATAAAATAAAAAACTAAAAAGACAAGGTGAAAACTCTTACCCATCCAAAATGCACTGCCATTTGATGCACCGTGCAGAAGAGCTTTCACACAAAAAATAAATTTTTCCATAGAACGTTTAACAGCAGGCACTTTAGTAGCCACAGGCATCCTTTTGTGACCCTGACCAACAAGAGAAGCTTCGGGGTCAGAAAATAGACCGAAATGTGTACCGATCTGAAAGCATCGCGTAATAATATAACAAAAAGACCCAACTCCATCTGAGGTTCACACAAGGCACTCGGAATACTTACCTTGGCTTCAGCACAGATAGTTTGAACTATTCGAGTGGCTTTTTGAAGTTCTTTGACCTGCAAACATATCCAAGAATAGGTTCATAACTAGCATACGTTGTGAACAGGAGCGACGCATATCTACATGGTATGTAGAAAGAGATAAACTCGAACACGATTCAAGAAATATGTCAAACGGCTAGAAGTATCATAATTACAATCAGGAAGACAAGACCTAGTTCCTCCGAAGCAATTTTAATGAAATGAATACTTCATGACACTAGAATTGAAGTAGAATTCGAAACTTACTGAGGAAACTATGATATCTTTATGAGCTTCAAATTTTGCCTGAAAGAAATCCATGCCTGCAATCGAAACAAATGAAATTGGGTATAATGAATACAATCTCATATAAGGCACGGAAGTACAGGCACAGCAACACTATATACTAGATCTCAGTGAATTACCTTTCAAAAAGGTATCAACAAATTTTCCACCGCACTTCACTGCAACAGCGTGCACGGCACTCTGTGACAACAACAACAATCACTACCAATTACAATTACTGGAAAGCTTGAGAATCTGTCCAGCGTCAAATAAATGACAAGACTTGTTGTAGCCTACTGGCGATCAATACAAATACCACTGCATTATTGTAAAAACTGAGTGCGAGATATTGCACGAGGAAAAGGACCTTTCCTACGTCGTTAAAACCGACGAAAGTGATTGAATCTGATTACCTTTTCATGGGACTTGGTGAGGTTTACAAGTGCCACATGGACTTTAATACAGTGATGGGCGCTAGTTAATAGCTCAACCACAGCATCTTTAACAAGAGGATTTTTAGACTTGATTTGCGATAGAACCTCTTTCATCTGCACCCACGATGGCAGAGTCGTAAAGAAGATCGACAAGTAAACAGGACCAAATTTCAAATGACTTCAACCATCCAAGGCAGTGCGGGATACGTACAAGAACATTTATTCACGAAAATCACACTAAAATGAAATGCTAAGCTCGGCATGATCATTACCACTTCTTCGAATAGACCGAGAACCTCCTCGTGCTGAACATCAATGCCATTAGCTCACCAGAGAAAAGCATCAGAGAATGCATTAACAGACACATCAAACAATTCTGCACGTGAAGGTAAATGTAAAAACACTGCAGCCATGAGAACCGATTCAAGATGCTTCAAACTATCATCCAGGCTTTGATGTTTTCGTACTTCAAATTAGCTGATTATCTTACCTGCACACGATACCATATCAAAAATGTGCTGTAGGAAAGAGCAGGGTAGCCCTCTACTCCTTGGTTAATTTTGCTCCCCTTAGTAGGCACCTGACACACATCACAAGTTGGAAATGACTCAGTCAGTACCTACTCAACCTCAAATTGAAGCCCATCTAGCTCGCGAACTTGAACGTAAACCACGGTGCTCATTTTCAAGAACTCGAATCAGAAAGCTTGAAACATATCACGTAAATACGAGTAATAATTGTTGCGAAATGCTTCGTTCGGGCGCCACTTACTTGAGGTAGGACGTTGCAAGCCATTTCCTCCAATAGATCAATAGGCGACGAGTTGCATCTGATATGCAAATGGAGTAACTGTTGTAGCATATCACCCTGCCAGCCAGTAACCCCTCAGCTAAAACCTGGACTCCTCATCGTAAAGATGGTGCGTATTCCCACAAAAGAAGCTTAAGGGAGTTTGTTACCAAAAATGCTCCTCCAATGACGAAGCAAATGTGAATGTCAAGAATTCAAACAGACCGAAAAGACAAAACCAGAATCTGCCATGAAAATCAGACTTACAGTTGCAAACAACTAAAAAGTATTGGAATACCAGGTGCAGATGACAATACGAGAAACCATGTACTGTCAGCAAGGACACTCCTCTCATCGAGAGACATTCAGATCTCGAGTAAGAAAGCAAAATTGTGAGAGGGAGTAAAATGCACTCAGCTGAAGAGACATCTTCAGCATTTCCAACAAATACAGCCTCCAAACACCAAAGAAAGCAACAAGAACTTTCAAATATAGATTATGATTATGGTTCTCTCAAAATTTTGATGAAAAATGTTGAGGTCACATGGGTCACAGAAACGTACTTTGCTTTTCCAAGGTTCGAATGCATCCCAGTCATGTGTCAGCACCCGGCCAGCTGAAACACTCAATTGTGCTCGCAGAAGTGGAAGAAATCCTGCTATCTTTACAAAGCTGGAACGCCGTCTCCTTTCGTCAGAGGGTTGATTCTCACAAGCTTTTGCACAATCTACAAGTGCTTTGAGAACCATCACTAATTGTGTGGCGACAGCAAGTGATGACGCAGCAGCTGGAAAGGAAAAGCCTTTGTCAGATTATGAAAAATTCACTGCAATATGTAATTGAAAGATATTCAAGCCACGAACTTAACCTTACAACAATCGTTCGTGATGGTTACTTAGAAATGTTCAGTACATAGTGATTTAGGAAATTGAAAGTGAAATGTTATGGTGCAATACCTGCAGCATGCAAGCCGTCCAGGAACGAGTAAGTGCCACAGAATACATGTTCTAGACTGCCTGTAGGAGGTCGTGGTAATAGACCTGCTGCTAATTCATTAGCACCCTCAACTGAGCTGAAAGCCGAAATTAATTCCTTAAATACAGGGTAATTAGTCGGCAGAGTAAGATCTGGATAAGCCAAAACCTGGAAATATCACAAACAAAAACAGTATCACCCTTCAATAGAAGATATTCTACGAGATGAGGTGTTTTTGGATGTTGACATCAGGTTCTTGAAGTTTGGCTTAGCTCAAATAATAATACAGCAAACGTTACCGTTTAAACGTCAGTGGTAATACTATAGTGGTACGAATCATTACTCAACTTCAAGTAATTCAGAAAGTAAAAAACCTGCAACTAATAAATAGACAAATGAGATTAATCGACAATATTAAATCACTTTTTTGGAAAAAAGTAACCGTTCTACACAAGATACATTTCCAATATCATAGAAACACAATGCGAACTTCTAGAAGTCAAAAATCGTTCTCGTCAACTGGTACCCACAATATTACTTAACAAGCACCACCCAATCAATGACCTACTAATAAGGTGTTGAGCTCCACCAGAAAAAGTGAATAGTACCTTGCCTAAACATCGTAAGGTAATCATCAGGAAAGACTGGGCAGTTTCCTTGGAGGAGACACAAGGGACCAGTCCTACCGGATTGCCTGCAGCCGTGGACTGTACCATCCAGTGTTCTTCGAAAGCTGCATGTTCTTCCTCTGTTCTCTCCAACAATCGCCCACTAAGCGTCAAAATTGCTTCAAATCAAGAGTAATGCCAGACTTAATATCACGAACATTTAAAGGAGCTCGTCGGAAAACAAGGCGTAGTCGAGCGGAAGAAAATAAACTTCAGGGTAACAGGTCCACAGACGATTTATCCCAAAATACTAAAATTTTACCTTGACGAAGTTGTGAAATGGCAGAATTCAGGTGCCTCTTCAAGCTTGGAAACACAGTTTGTAATCTTTTCAGAACGTCAGTAGCAACTAAGGATCCCAAGCCAGATGGTACCTTCGGAATAGGCGCGGCAACTATCCAAGGAGCCAATTTTCGAGTTGGTTGCTCTAAAGAAATATCCAGTTTATTGTATAAATCTCGTAAGAGATACAGATAAAGGGGAAGCTGGCAAAAAAAGAAAATGATGATGTTAATTGGCCACAACTTAGATATGGACCTTACTACCAATTTAAGATGGGAAAAATGAGCAGACATACAACGAGAGACCATGTGCAGCAAATGATCAAGGGTCACCGCATAAATTGTGATGAAATTTCTTAAGAAGTAAAAAAGTAGATCTTAATGCTACCTGGCAGGCGGAATCAGCACAGCACGCAGTAACTGTACCCTGAAATGAGAAACGCATTCAAAAGTTAATTTGTGCTCTATTTGAAAATACTTAAGAAGCCACTAATCTGTTTCAAAACAAGTACAGAAATCAAACTGTGAAAACATGAAACGAATAACGTGAGGTAGAGACCACATAAATCAATGCAGATGAATAAAGTAAAGAAATCGTTACATGAGCTACATCGTGCTAACAATTAAATACTTATCTCGATATCCAGTTTCTACTCTGTTAACGAGCTACACCAGTTAAAAATCTCCTTAAATTCTCACAAAATCTCGCCTATGTCAACATAGCTGAGGACACACACACGCAGAATGCTACCATGCAGCGCACGCTCGCTTAAGACAAAGGCTGCATGACAGACTGCATGACGAACACGCAGTTTAAGCAGATGATGAACGAGCGTCTAAGCTGCTGCAAGCTTGAAATGCTTGTAGATGTCACATGTTAAGCGAGTCCACTACAAACATTAGCGCATCAACAAGCAGTTGAAGAAAATAAAAATAAGAATCATTTGTCTGCATGCCATCAACTTTGCTTCCTGATACGTAATCTAAAGGACTATGACTTTGTTCCACGAAAACCTTATCAGCGTGGAAATTTCCGCATGCATGACAAATGCCGCATGTAAGGAATACCAACTGCAGCCATGCAAAGTAAAAGACCTACCTCAGGCATCGATAAAATAGCAGTACATGTCAGAGTGAGTGCTCGACACTTCCACCTCTGCTCATCAAGCAAGCTACCATTCCATGGCACAGTTTCCTTCGCCGCATCAATGGTTGTGCCAGATTTCTGTGGAGCCTCTGCGGCCGTTGTGAGAGTTCCAGCTGGCTGGCCTTGTTGAGACCGTTGAGAGTCCTGAGTGTTGCCATCTCCTGCGTTAGGATCTTTAGCTCCTTTCACGTTCCCTTTTTCTTTCTTGGATAACTTAGGCATCCGTTTCTGACCAGCCTTTTGTGTATCCTTGGATGGATTGCTTTCCTTTTTCTCATACTTGTCACCAACAAAGTCATCAGTGAGAAAATGAAGCTGGGGGAAGGACAGATTAGGCACGGCTTTCAGGCATTCATTCAATCGCTGCTCCAAACACCTGCAATGGCAAGACCATTGTGCAGTTATCACTCATCAAAAGCACGAGGTGGTACGTTAGAAGAATATCGATTCAAACAAACTTGCATACCTCCAAATCGTAATCACACTCCCATGGCAGTTTGTGAAATACTTGAGGGAGCCAAATAAGACAATACAAATATAAAACTCAAAGCCATCGGGAAAAAGTGAAAACAACAAGGTTCAAAGCTCACAACAAATTTCGAAGTCGCTTGAAAAGTTTTGTGGTAGTCTCTTCCAGTGTCAGTTGTAAATCGCAGTCATCTAACCGTGCTTGAATCTGGGTAGAGAACGCATTTATCTGCAGTATACAGAAGCATCAGACTTGAAGAGCTAACATTCAAAAAGAAAAACTGAAGCATTAGTCCTGGTCGAAGTAATCCAAATTCAAAAACATGAGGCTTTACCAGTTCTCTAATCCAGTTGATAGCGTAGAACAATGAAAGGCAGCAAATCTCTTTGCAATTCCTGGACAGCCCGACCCATTGTTCGCCTAGAAGCAGCTGCATAAGATGTGTACTAGCAATTAATATCCAAGATAATAGGAGTGTGGATGTCAATGTAATGAATAATATGCATGAATAGTGGTCAAGATCGTAGGACGGAAGGGTTCTGATTGACTTAAAAATGAAATTACAACTGGCCACATCACTAATACTTCGTACAAAGAATATTACCACTTTCGAAGATCCAATCCAAGAACTCCCAAGATAAGAACAGAAACGAAATAGAAGGCTGACCTCATGCTTCGGAAGATACAGTGGACATCCAAGGAGTGCATCAATCCCACCCAGCGAGCCACTATTTGTCGCACGCTCTGCCTGTGAGCTATAGTTCTTAGAAGCAACCACATAATAACGTTTTCCAGGGATAACACTCCGCGAGCTATCAGAAAAAATACTACTTCAGGAAAAACATCGTTTCTCTTAAGCAATTGTACAGAGTCACAGACAGAGCCAATAAACAAACTTATTGCTCTCTTTATTAGGTCGTTCGATTTCTTTCCTGTCCTACACTGTACACTACACGAGTGAGAGACGCTGTCACATACCACAGCAAGCAGACGAATATTGGCAAACAGGTACAGCAATGATTGTGCCAAGCTGCCACGACAACTCAAGAAATCATTGCAGAGAACACTGATAATATACCAATAATAGCATTTCCATCAAAAAGATTAATTTTTCACAGAATTTCCATTAAACTTTCAGCACGATCATTGATCCTATAATGCAAATCCAACTTGTGCAGTTCTAATTCACAAGTCGTCTGATTTCAGTCGAAATAGAGCTCAAATTATCATAGATAAGGGATGCGAGGTTCGGATTCGGTGATACCTCTTATCAGAAGATGATGTTAGCATAGGCAGTATATTAAGTATAATAGGTGACATATCACCATCCAGGTTCATCCATACTTCACCTATAAAGCCGGAATTAGCATTAGAAAAAACACTAGTTGTCTGAAACCCAACAGAATCTCCAAAGAGAAAAATATATAAGGCAAATTTGAATGGTATAAAGTGCAAGTGGGGGCATTTGTGAAAACCCTCACAAGTCCCGACTGAAATAAACTACGAACCATGAAACTTAAAAGAACTTCATTTTAATTTCAACAAAGGAACCTCAAAAACCTGATGATCACTCACCTTCGACTGGCTCGCAAACATCCTGTGCAGCAGGCAGCTTCCCTCCTTCAAGATCCCCAAGATAAACTGTAGAAAATTCTTCAGTCTGAACAACCACCCTGAAAAATTCAAAAACGTTCGATCAGAAGTAGATAGGAAGTGTCATCCTGCTCCTGCTCAAAAAACAACTTTAATCAACAAATCTTTTTAAACTACATCTGAATATTTTCAGATGTCACTGTCTAAATCTTGAACAGGAATAAATCCTACCATCTACAACATCCAAATGCTGGCTGCTACCGAGGCAATCCAAAAGATGTGTATTGTGTGCAAGAGGGTATTAAAAACTGAACTCAGAATTTAAGAAGGATAAATTGAAGAATAAATTTTTGCTCACCATTCTATGATTGAGGGATGCAAAACAGAGGCTTCCAACTGGTTGGACAGCTCATCATAAAAATAAGCACGAGCAACAGGTGACGTTTTGCATGCATCCATGGTCATTTGTAGAAGTGTCACTGCTTCTTTGAGGTTGGATTCCTTGCGAACAATATAAAGACCTCAGTTGACAAAGCAACCTAATAAGCAGCTGAAAGTGCACCAGAATAACACACAATGCAAGACAAAGAACACACATACATGTAACAGGTCTTTGTTCCAACAGCTTTGTGTGTTCTGGAGTGTATAGATAATCTCAAATCAGAGTCATAATATCTGCATGTCAATTACTCGGAGTAATAATAACATTCTAGAAGATTTCGGATCATTTAAACTCGGATGGCGCATGAAACTGACCTCGTCAGCCATCCCTTCTCTGGCAAGTGCATCCTCCTCACTTGCTTTACTACCCAAGCAAGTAACAAGACTAGTCACTCCAATGACTCCCATCCGCTTGTATTTTAGATCTGGGTTGGAAATCTGATTACAAGAATGAAATTGTAAGATTCAGCTTACTCCAGCAAACGTCGAAATTACCAAACCGACATTTTTTGACGCATTTTGTTTGAAAACCATCTATATGCCGTAAAGAAGCAGCTCACGATTTTATAACATTCAATAGTTTTCAGTATCCTGTTCATCTGCTTTCACTTTCATAAAATCTACAGGTCAATATGATTCTTATTCACCAGAGGTAACTAATATTCAGAGTACAAAATTGGAGGTACCAAAAGAGGAAAATGGAACAGCCTACAAATAATCATTGCGTAATTTCTACTGCAGCTTTGTTAGCTTAGTACACGAACTGAACTAATCACACAATTCTTAATTAGAGGGTCTGTATCACTGGATCAGCTGCCTACTGTAATCAACTCACGCATTCAGAACAGCAAATTATCAACGTTGTTTTCAAATCCAGCATGATTTTCCCTCACTATATCAATAATTTGACAACATAAATTTCACACACAAAAGGAAAAAACGTCCAAAAATATCATCTGACCTGCTTGCGCACTATTATAAGTAAATCGTCTGCAACAGAAGTACCACCAGAAGCCCCTCTTCGCTCTCGAGCAGCCATCGCGATATGGCAAAATATACTATAAACCTGCATGAAAGAATCCTAAAGTTACAAACAGTCCTGTCGTCTCTTCTAACCGAGATGGAAATAAGATCGTTCTGATAAAAAAAATGGCAAGTGTGAATCACGATTGCACATAGCACTGATGAAGGTGGAGGAAAGATATTCAAAAGTGACCTCTGAAAACCAAGAAGAACGTGGATAATGGTTCAAATGCGCCAAATAGAAACATAGTGTGGAAGTACATCAAGAACTGGCAAACCTGGTGAAGATGTGTGTCTTGAAAACCTTCCAAATAGTCCAGAATACCTGCACCACACATGATGTTTAAAATATAAATATGATACAATGTGTCGTTAATACATCAATCAATATTTCACAAAAAGCCAAAACAAATAATATTATTCAACCATTTAGAAAAGAATTTCATCCACCAGGCAACTGCGCTCACCATTCAAGAACGTCGACATTGGCAGCAGCTCCTGAGGTTTTCTTTTTGCAATTAACCATAGAGTATGCAATGCAGCCCCAATCTCAGTGGAAATACCGGATCCGATGTGAGTGATGAGTGATCCCAACACCTGCAGGCGCTCAAATAGCTAAGAAGCATGTTTGATGGAATTGTACTAAGGAAATGAAATACATTCAGACACAGTTTCTGTATTGCATTACTATTGATGTAGCCAAATCAAGCAATTACTTTGAGAGACATTCTGAAAATAGAACTATGTTGTTATTTGAGGGATGTAAATTACACACTACACGATTGCTATATAATATTTGGCTCAAAAGGTAAGTGACAACCGAAACTCCCAGACTTTCCCCTTGATTCTTGTCCAGTACAAATGGATGTCTACATTGAAAAATAATAATAATAATAATAATAATAATAATAATAATAATAATTTGTAAAAATAATTTTGTGATATATTTGAAAAAGCCAACCAGGTAAAATGATGAAGAGCGAACCTCTCGCCTAAAAAAGTCGCCAGCAAATTCTTCATAGAGAAGCGTGTACACCTGAGTGCCAAATTCATGCGTGGCTACTTCGGGACTCCTCAAGAAACTATCACCAACTGACAACAAAGTTTTGAAATAATCCTGCACGTACGATAATATAACTGAGATTTTCACAACAAATGTTATCACAACCATGCTCAGATGTGTGTTAAAAAGTCAATAATATGGGAGAGATTTTCTGAAAAAATTTGACAACCCCTATTGACCCTAAGATGACACAAGATGCAAGCGAATTAACTCCGTTAACACTGATGTAGAAACACAGCAGAAGCGTTCTCCGTAAGATTATCTTAGGAGTGACGTTGAGATTTATATAACATATCAATAACCCATCACGTGCCCACTAAATACCTTGGGTTAATACAATCATCTGAAATCCAAGGTGCAGGGTAGGAATGAAAAGAAAATAGAAGTTCTGAATCCCCACTATTCTCGGGCAACATATCAACTCCAAGCATCACACCAGCCATGAAAATAAAAATAAGAATGCTTTAATTCTGCCAGACAAATCATTTCGAACGCCAGAGTCTCCTTAATCAAAAGGACTACGTCTGAGAGCTTTACCTGTAGAGACTCTCCACGACCATGCACACACAGCCTGATCAACAATGGTGTAAATTCACCTTGAATTACTTTCCGTTTCAACAAGGATTCCGCAGCTTTGCGATGTGGAGCTCCATTCGCATGAATAATCAGTAACAACCATATGTCTACCACTTTATGCCTTTGAACACCTTCAAGACCTCGAATCTCCTTGAGGACTGCTTCACATGCGATCTGCGCTCAGTCGGAGAAAAAGGACGAAATTACATCCATGTAAAAATAACGAATCCGGGACACAAGAAGCGAATTAACGCCACAAATGATTAGACGTGCATTGAAAAATTAATTGATGTGAATGTTTGCGATCTGAATAAGTGATTAATGACGTTAATATTAACATGGAAGAGTTCAATGAGGAGGAAAAACCAATTTAACACTCGAAACAATCCCAATTCAGAAAATGATTGCTCGAAGGACTCGAGTGGTTTTACAACTTTTCCACTAACACATGCAAGAAAAAACAGTGAATCGTTACGGTTACAAGAGGCAACCGTTCAATGGTCTTACTCAACCTTCTGAGACCATCATCCCAATCAAGAATAGTATGAGGTAGCTTACATTCTGCAATCGAAGCCCTGATCGAATAGCCTCAAGAATTAGTGCTTCACAATTCGGAGCGCTCACCAATCCCTTTTGTTTCCGATCAGGCTTAGATGAACGCACATCGGAGATCGTAACAAACTGAAGATGTTCGCGCAATTGTTCGATGATCAGCTTGACATTAGTGCTCGTTGCAGATTGAAGCAAAAACTTAATAACAAGCGGTAAGTCTTCAGCATCTGCTGTTCGTAAGCTGGACACTGCAACGGTGACAACCTGAACACAAAGCGATTTCTTTAAATTGACGAATCAATTTGCACCACAGCCTAAAAGCCCACAGCCAATGTCAACGTGCGATAAAATAGACTTGGTCAAATACTTAAACAAAAATAACTAATAACAAGCACTCAACGCAACAAAAGCGAGATGCTTGAAACTTCTCATACTTGAAGTTCAGCTTTCTTGAAGTACTAAATGAGAATTTCTCTTCAGAAGGATATTGTATGAACTACCCCGAAACACAGATTCAGCAAGAAGCCTGCCCAAAACGTTCTGATGTTTTCACCTGCTCAAAAAGTTCAGGCTCAAGATTCATATTCGAAAAGGCGTCCAACACTGGAACTACAAGCTGCAAATCTTCCTGCACAAAGAAATTCCAGATCTGTGAGCAAGGTCCCCAAAGTTTTACAGACATAAAGAAACCAGTCATCATCTTTGACGAAATAGCAGTAAATTAAACCCACTTTAGGGAAGTTTCGCGCCTCGTGGCAAAGCATAATCACGAAGAAGATCACCCCTGCATTTTACCCAACGATAAGCCACCTAACTCGACCAAAGCAAGAGAAAGAGCATCAAGCCCCTTTCATGACTACAACCCTACAGTTTCCCACCAGAATCCTGGTGCGATTTCCTCTTAAAGCTGAGCAGGACGACAGAAAAAGGATTCTTCGATTAAAATATAACCGCGAGGTACACATACGTGCTGCATGATAATTGCTGATTACAGATAAGCACCTGTAACATTTGCTCTAACGCCTGCATCACCATCTCGTGATCTGCATCCACAATAACTTCCGGAAGAAACGAGATGATCTCTTTCTTCAGTGCCAGTGGGCATATCGTCAACACCTCGAGCAGTTTCTCTGTAAGGCTCTTACTATCCACAAGGAAATTTAGCCACTTGAATTGGTTCAATATGAGTCTGCAAGCACGTTGCATAAATTTCAGGGAACTTTCGAGGATTGGTAGCAGGAAAAGAAAGGAAAATTCAAGAGGATTATAAGTCATACTTAATCGAAACAGCCAAGGGTTCTGCGACTGAACAAGGCACCAAAGAAGCAACAGATCTGAAGAACGGTACTAAAAAGGCACAGATGAGCTCACGAAACTAATCGAAGTATTAGCATCAATAGTGATATGCAAAGAGAAAATACTTCGACGCAATGTATGCACATTTAGCATCATCAACAATTAGATGCCCATGCAAGCTTTGAATCTCAGAAACTCCACATGTTTGGATTAGAAAGTTATACGAATCTGTCAAAAATATATTGTACAAATTAGTCAGGAGCTTAGAAGCACCAGCATGTGCTAGTACGGCATGAGGAGTCCTGGTTATACCTTGGTATGCTGTCCATGAGAGCAGGCAGGGTACTGGTTGAGCTGGCGTCTTCTCCTATGTGCTCAGGAAGTTTTTCTAGCAAGATGTTGGCCACTGCGGTCTGTATAGGGGAAATGCATAACAAAGTTCGAGCCAGACTTACACCAGGGCGAGACTCGGCATAGTTGCTAATTCTTGTCATCGGCATTAACACCCTGCGCAATTTACATCACCCAGACACACCCATCTTAGGAAAATATTTCCACTAAAAACGTTGTAACGAGACTGCGAGACATATTTTGCTCATCAAAGTGCCAACAGGAAGCGAAGTGAGAATTTTTGAGCTAAGGTGATGTACTTAAGCAATAGACGGACTGCAAGACAACTAACTCACGAGTTTTCTGCTTTACATCCTGCTCCTGTAACAAGAAGGGATCAACACGTGATTCCTCTAAAAACCCTTTATAAACCCTCACTCTGGATAATTGAGAATGCTGTCTGTTGAAACTGGTGAGAGAAAATAGCTCTGTGGAAGAGGGATATAAGTTATTATCGATATTAAAACACTTGCTCTCGAGGCCAGAATTCACCAACAGTTTCAATGAAATTGTTGAAACATCCTTCCCTTTGAGCTCTGCAAGGTTTGTGAAAAAGAGACTAAACACCGCAAACCTGTGCAAATCTTCCCCGTTCTCGATATGCGATTGAAATCCAGCTAGAAAAGGACCAACAAGTGATGAATCTCTGGCTAGCCGAAGCTCGAGACGTTGCTGAAGTTCGCGGGACAATTGTATCGGCCCATCAGATGATAATCTGCAGCCAGCTTCTGACAATAATTTAACGAAGCAATCACTCTCTTTCTGCTGATCTACACGTCTGCGAAGCACTGGCTGCGTTCCCTGCCGCCCATTGCCGTTTACAGAAGGCGGCGGTCTCTTTTTCGATGAAGACATCTTCACAACTGATGGTCAAATCAGGTAACTCATCCTCGAAACAACAGAATCCAGCTTTCTTGTGAAGCGGAATAACCACGAGAAATCCACTGAAGATGAGAAGAAGAGCTGCAAAAACACTCGGTTCTTAGGTTTGAAGACTACAAAATTGTGCTTGAACACACACAAACTTAGGCCATTCTCCAGCTAAAGCACTTTCTGCTGCATACTAAACCGTGCTGACAAGAAATTCACTGACTCCAACATCAATACTTGCACAGAAGAGCCCTTTGCTTGAGAGAAATAAGAACAACACTCGCATTTGAACAATTTCAGCGTATAATACATTCAAACACGTCATAAATTCTTCGAATCCCTAGTCACTCGCCACAATATCGCATGCATTCGGTACAACTGAGAAAGATCAAACATGAATTGGCACAAGCGGTGTGATAGTTCAATCAAGTCTGTAAAATTACTCCAAAATAAGTAAATTTTCGTTGATCAGCGAGAACGAGATATACAGATGCCTCACGAATCAACAAGTTATGCTTGCCTGGATGAATTTGCAGCAAATTGTAGTAGTCAGTCGCTGGGTGCAACAGTTTGTTGAAGAAGGAGACATCAAGCCAAATGCAAAAACCATATGGTTTCCCGCCTAGCCATGCTATCCGTCTGCATGGGTATCACTTTCTTTCCCGGGTATCAATATCACGTCTGAATTTCATAATTCACACAAGTGTCGCAAATCGCGTGCTGCCCATCTGTTCCATATGCTTATTCATTGGATTCTGACTCGTTATTACATTCTGAAGACAATTCCTCAATTGAGGATGTCGAAGTGGCACCTGGGTGGACACATGTTTAAATTAACAATAATAGTAATGCAGAAATTCTGATTAAAACAAAAGTTGTTCGTTTCAATGTTGTAAATAATTTGTTTACAAGTACTACTAATGAGCATGAGGAAATCATGGCATATTCGTCAGGTACAAGAAACGGAATGTATTCACGCAACATGGATTTTCCGAATGCTTTTTGAGTTGGTGATTTGAATTACAGAATTGAATCATGAGTGACGTGGAGGTTGACCAAAGGGTTGAAGGGGAAGGGGATTTCAAAACCCTAATTGCCTCGATGTGGTTGAATAGGGGGGATGGAGATGAAGTTTGCTGGAAGGAAGGAAGGACGGGCGAGGGCGGGCTTGTCATCACCCTCGATAACGGACTCGCCGCAATCTCGATCGGGTGGGGGAGGGGAAAACCCAGGGAAAGGGAAAGGAAAAGGAAAGGAACTGAAGGAAAGGAAGGGAAGGGAAGGGGGCGAAAGGAATTTGTAGAGGCTACCATTTGGTTTCAAAGCCAGCCCGGTCTCTCTGTGACGACACACACGCAGGAGGAGGAGTTGCGACGTCATTTCGCACCCACTCCTATTTCCACTCCACTCCTCGCCTCGCCTTTGCTTTCCTCTCCTCTCCTCTCCTCTCTGCTGGCACGCTTGTCGTCGTTTAGAGCTTGCGGTCGGGGGTCCACATGGCTTGCGCTTGTGGCCGTTTCGTGTACGTGCCGTAGGTTGTTGTTGTTGCTGTTTCTGTTGGATATGGTGTTATCTGTGTTGAGGGTATCATCTTGAGGCGAGGTATTGGGGTCAGGTTTGGGGCGAGATCATTGTGGAATTTGAACGATTGCAGGGGAGGAGGACGACAGTGGGACGGGGAGGTGGTGGTGGTGGTGAGAATAGCTGACTAGGTGGCATTTTGGGCCTTTTTCTAGTTTGAAGGGTGTTGTTTGATGTGATTAGAGCTTTGGTGTGGTGTGGAAGGAGGTGAAGGACAGGGTTGGAAAGCAAAGAGAGAATTGAAGGTGAGGCGGGCAGATTGAAGGCCGGAGGGAGTGGGCAAGCGATGCGAGGAAGGGTTGTAGGAGTGAGAGTTGGGCGGGGCCCTTAGATTTGGGGCAAGTAGGGAGGTAGTAGAGAATTTGATGTCGCAGAAAAAGAGGTTGAGCAGCAGCAGCAGTGGAGGGGGTGGTGGCATCTCGCCGAATATGATATCAGCGACGAAGAAACCTAAGAACCAACAGCAGACGTCGATACTTGATCAGTTCGATAAGAATGGCAAGGTAGGGATGGCTGTGGAGGAGAACACTCCTGACATGATGTACGTGGATGGTGTGGAAGATCATCTCGCATCCACTGTATCATATCCTGCTGGGTCGGTGTCGGCAGTGACGTTAAGTAATAATCCGGGAGTTGGGACTACGGCAAACTTATCGCGGAAAAAAGCCACACCACCGCCGCCTGCCAAGAAGTTGGTAATCAAGCCCTTCAAAGGTATGTTCACTTGGGAGCTTCCTTTATTTGTGCTGTGGCTGGAGCGGAACTTATGGGATTTGGAGCAATGGCGTTCATTCTTTTAAGGTCTGGAATAGAGTTGCCGAATTCTATTGTGATCGTCAAGATTGAATATCTCCGAATCTTTCTGTTGCATAGTGACTAAATTTATCTGGACATTGGAATACTGAGCTAGTACGTTCTGACTTCGGTGTTAGGAATTGGGAAGTCTGTCTTCAATATCTGCTATCTGTAAGATTTTTTTTTGTGATGTTGGATAGCTTTTCTTATTCGAGGTTTACTTGAGAAGTGGTTGTGGAGTATTTGTATGTCAGTTTGTGATGCACGAGTGTCATCGATTGGTCGTCGCTTCTGGTTGTTCTAGACATTGATGTTAGAGCCTGAATTAGGGTTATGGTTTGTTAGTGGTTTCATATCGTGCCTTGGGTTTAGAGGTTTTGTGGCATTCATATTGGCAGTGACGTTTATCCCCGCATTGGTCTGCAGTGCCCCCACTATCGTACGATGGGCGCATTTGAGCTATGGTCCTTAGAGCAATTGCTTTTGCAGCTCTCCTTTAGCGTGTTCACTTTCACTCAGTTATTCAGGCGCTCCTAATCCCTTCTCGCTGTCATGGTGGTCGTGAAATAAGTATTCCCAACATGCAATCCAGCGTATATGGAAGTGACTGTATTTTTGACATGTATTCTGGGTTTATGTGCAGACAAACCAAAATTGCCTGCTAACTTTGAGGAAGTGACATGGGTCAAGATCAAGGAAGCTGTAACTGCAATTCACCTAAAGCAACCAGTGAATTGCAGTTTGGAGGAGCTATATCGAGTATGCGTTTCCTTCTTGGATTAATTGTCGTCTCAAAGTCTGATGGTTTATATGTTTGCGGTGACCTTATTTAGTTTGTACGCGGCTTCGACCTTGTTTCGCAGATGGGTCTGTGGGTTTTTTAGTATCTTTTATCTTGCTTAGAGTAGGAGTGACCTGTGTAAGGAAGTTTTCTCATCACTTGTTTGCATTGTTTAGAGTTTCCTTTGACCGTGCTTGTTTCTTCGATTTATCCGCGTTTATTCAACAGTTATCGATGTATTTTGGAAATGTATTATGGATTTCAGACTAGTTCTTTTAGTGCTCAAATGCAAGTCAGAAAATGAAGTTGTGGATAAATAAACTAAATTTTCGTGCTACATGTGCCTAAGAAATTCATAACAGTTTGGATGTGTTGTTTCACAGGCTGTGGAAGATCTCTGTGTTCACAAGATGGCAGGAAATTTGTACAAGAGATTGCAGCTGGAGTGCGAAAGTCACATTTCAATCAAGCTGCGTGATCTTGCAGGGCGCAGTCCTGATGCTGTGGTGTTCCTGTCTCATGTTGAAAGATGCTGGCAAGACCATTGCAACCAAATGCTTGTTATCCGCAGCATTGCGCTCTATTTAGACCGGACTTATGTTATTCAAAATTCAGGTGTTCGATCTCTATGGGACATGGGTTTGCTGCTTTTTCGCCGCCACCTGTCAGCATGCCCAGAAGTTCAGTCTAAAACAGTTTCTGGTCTTCTCAGACTTATCGAGGAGGAGAGGTAAAGATCATATGGAAATTTTTGTTGAGTGGTCTGAAACTACTATTTGGTTTAGCTCTATTTAACGTTAGATGCTAGGTACGGCAATGATCTCCAATGTAGTGGCTTTTAAATAATATCTTCTAGTGACCATGGTGTGCCGCAATCAACGTTTTGGGGGAAAGTTTTTCACTCCAGACTCGAAACAATGGCATGGTGTTTCGTTTTCTAAAAAGGTATGTGTGTTAACGTCAAGTTACATGCTTCCATGCATACAGGATGGGAGAGTCTGTGGATCGGAGTTTATTGAAGCACTTGCTGCGCATGTTTAGTGCTCTTGGCATATACGCTGAGAGTTTTGAGAGACAATTTCTAGATTGTACCTCTGATTTTTACGCAGCGGAGGGAACACGCTTTATGCAGCAAACAGATGTGCCCGATTATCTTAAACATGTCGAGGTGAGTTCTTGAGTGGAGAAAGAAGCTGAATTGCGAAGACAATGGTGAAGCCAAATTTTATGAATGTGTCTAGCACGAGGCAATCCTCTTGAACTTATCTTTTCATTGTACAGACTCGTCTCCATGAAGAGAACGAGCGATGCTTGCTTTATTTGGATGGAAGTACACGGAAACCTTTGGTGGCTACTGCCGAGAAACAGCTTCTCAGCCGCCATACAGCTGCAATTCTGGAGAAGGTAGTGTAACATAAAGTTGACTAGTCTTTCAACTATTGATTTGGTAATTAGAGGGACCTCAGTAATGCACCTGAAACTAGCCAACTCAGATTTTACACGGAACAGTTAACTTTTTGACATGAAGGTGCATGCTTATAATTTTTACTTTGGGCGTTACTCAATCTTTTTACGTTTTCCACGTTGAAGCATCTTAACTGAAATCTTCGCCCTCTTTTTCTACAAGGTGGTGTATAAATGGGCTATGTTGTATTTTAGGGATGATATTTATTTTGCTCGATACGCTTATTCTTGCAGGGATTTGGCATGCTCATGGATGCCAACCGCGTGGCAGATCTTCAACGGATGTACATGCTTTTTACACGAGTAAATGCTTTGGAGTCTCTGAAGATGGCCTTGAGTACTTACATCAAGACAACGGGCAACAGTACTGTGATGGATGAAGAAAAGGATAAGGACATGGTGTCTTGGCTTTTAGATCTGAAGGCCCGTCTGGATGCTATTTGGGATGAGAGCTTTTCTAGAAATGAAACCTTTGCTAATACTTTGAAGGATGCATTCGAACATCTCATTAATCTGCGTCAGGTATGCATAGTTTGTGACAGGATACTGATTTGAATTTCTTAGGCATGATTATAAGAATGCAGTATTTTGTTGTCACTTTTTTGAAGTGTCTTGTACTAGCAAAAATATTGCTGATTATTGGTGCATGGTTTTTCAGAACCGACCTGCCGAGCTCATAGCGAAATTCATTGATGGAAAGCTGCGTGCTGGCAACAAGGGAACGTCCGAAGAGGAGCTAGAGGGCATCCTGGATAAAGTTTTGGTGCTTTTTAGATTCATTCAGGTAATTTCACATTGCATATGTGTTTATATTCTCTCTGTTGCAAACCTTGGCTTAATTTATATGCGGGTCGGATTTAATCCCATCTTATGATAATGTTTGCAAACGTATTCGATTATCTGTTGCACTCTAATGTATGCTTTTCTTGGTGAAATTAGGGTAAAGATGTATTCGAAGCTTTTTACAAGAAGGATTTGGCCAAACGTTTGCTTCTGGGGAAGAGTGCCTCTATTGATGCAGAGAAATCCATGATATCAAAGGTATTGCACTTCTGGATACTGCTTGTGTTCCGTAGCATGTGAATTTCGCTCTCATGGTCTCATTTTATTTTATTTTTATTTTGTTTTTGTTATTGTTGTTGTTCATACATTCAGGAAGGAGATGATCAGACTGTATTTTTACGTTAATCTTCAATCACTACATCTGATGATGTTTTAGGGTTGTGTAAAGATGATCTGGTTTCAATGGTGCATCTCAAATTTTTGTTTTGCTGTGCTTCCAGCTCAAGACAGAATGCGGCAGTCAATTCACGAATAAGCTGGAAGGAATGTTCAAGGTAAGGATTTCTCGTCAAACCAGTTGTAAATCTCGTTCTCTTTAGTTGTTTTAGGGTTGCATTCGTTCCATTTAACATTTCATTGGATATTCAGCGCCTCAGGTTGCTATTTTGTTGCTTAGTAGTGACGTTTTGAGTAATGTGAGTCAGTTTCTCTGTTGTGATTCTCCAACTTTTTCTCTTTTATTGTCTCTGATTGCGTAGGATATTGAGCTTTCACGGGAAATCAATGAATCGTTTAGGCAGTCTGCTCAGGCACGGATGAAGCTGCCTTCAGGGATTGAGATGAATGTTCATGTTCTGACAACTGGGTGAATATTCTGACATCTATTCAAGGCTGCTTTCATGATTGTCAAGTAGATTGGATAAATAGTAGAGAATCTTGAATTCTGTATGTGTGGCTGTGCGAAATGCTTGTAAGTTCTGGCGCAGCAGAATTTTTTCGTTTCTGAAATTTGGATCTCGTTTTGGTGGCGCAGCTATTGGCCTACTTATCCACCCATGGAGGTCAGGTTACCACACGAGCTGAATGTATACCAGGACATTTTCAAGGAGTTTTATCTGAGTAAGCATAGTGGACGGCGTCTGATGTGGCAAAACTCCTTGGGTCATTGCGTGCTGAAGGCCAATTTTCCTAAAGGAAAGAAGGAACTTTCCGTTTCTCTTTTTCAGGTAAAATTGTGGTTCCTGCTTTGATGCGGTTTTGAGCTTACATGGAGTGCTGTAAACTAATTTGGTATTTCCGCTTTGGTTTTTGAAGAAAAATTGTTTTGTATGATTTTTGTAATGACATCTTTGCTTGGTTTTGTATAGACCGTGGTGCTGATGCTCTTCAACGACGCGCAATCTCAAAGCTTCCAGGAAATCAAGGACACAACTGCGATTGAGGATAAAGAACTTCGAAGAACTCTTCAATCATTGGCTTGTGGTAAAGTTCGAGTTCTTAACAAGGTATTATGCAAAGCTTGAGTAAACTTTTGCTCATGACGTTACGTTTGAGAAAGAGAAGGATAACACGTAGTGCATTACAAAGTTTAAGTGCTTGATTATGATGTTTGAGGTGCTAATTGTCTTTTATGTTGTAATGTGATAGCGGTTGAATCTTTTCAATGCGAAGAATAGGATGCTTTTAGTATTTGAATGAGGGGTTATTGACGTCTGTTTACGTGTTGTTTGATCTGTATTTTGCTTTTGTGGTGAGCGCAGCAACCAAAGGGCAGAGAAGTGGAAGATGATGACATATTTGTCTTCAACGAGGATTTTGTTGCTCCTCTTTTTCGTATTAAGGTGCGATATGCATGTGCTCATTATTATTTTGAGTTCTGGTATAAGGGTGTACCCTGTCTATACATTGGTTTATGCTTGAGAAGTTCTTATTTATATTATGTTTTGTTCTGTGTCAGGTCAATGCTATACAGTTGAAGGAAACTGTAGAGGAAAATACGAGTACAACAGAGCGAGTGTTTCAGGATCGTCAATATCAGGTAAGGAATCAACACTCTAAAGTAGTACATTTGGATCATTTTCTTGCTGAAACTTTTATCTGTTTTTATAATGAATTTAGGGCACTAGTTTATGTTCCGTGCAGCTATTGATCCAGTGTTAACGTCGAGCTTGTTGTATAGATTGACGCTGCCATTGTCCGGATCATGAAAACACGAAAAGTGTTAAGTCATACATTGTTAATAACAGAACTATTTCAGCAGGTAATACGTTCATTCTCGGAAATTGTGCCTTCATGTTTTGGGTGTGGACACGCAAGTTTTTTATTTTATTTTATTTTATTTTATTTTTTTAGCCCTCCGTGGATATCTCACTTGCTTATTTGATTTCTTGCTTATAATTCTTTGTTATTTTTGCGACTCCAATGACTCGTTGAATTTTGCAGCTGAAATTTCCAATTAAACCAGCTGATCTGAAGAAGAGAATTGAGAGCCTGATCGATCGGGAGTATCTGGAAAGGGACAAAGCCAACCCTCAAATATACAACTATCTGGCTTAGAGACTTAAGATTTGGTATGATAAGTTTTGTCGACTTTGCTGACCGTTCTGGGGCAGAGGATGCATGTTAACATTCTTCCTGATCATTCTGTAAAGAATTTTTCTAGTATTCAATTTTGTTTCGTTTGGAAGTGAACCTTAGTTACATTTATTCGTTAGTGGGTTGACCCGAACGACCGAAATTGTTAAAAAACTTGGAGGAGGCCAGTCTTTTGGTTGTTTGGTCCTTAAGAAGTTAGTGGTGGAAATTAAAGATTCCGCCCAGCAAGTTGGCTGTTGATTCTTAGAGAATAGATATCCTTTGTTACATGAACCAGCTTGGCAGTTCTTTCACCTAGAGATGATCCTCATGGAGTTTCATGGCCCTTTGTGATGCAGTTTATTAGTCTTTGTGGAGCCTATTATTTCCCCCCTATCCAGCTTATGATAGCGTGGGAGATCTCGTATCCAGCTCTGGGGGACTTTTACACAACTGTGTCCTCAATCATCACTCTTGTATATCCACATGCGCTTTGAAGCATTTGATTGTTGGCGACTTAATTTTCATATCATTTATGAGTTTGCACATACAATTTTGAATTTCGCTATCTATTGTGAAGAACTTGTACTAGTTTGAGCTATCTTCGATTTCTCTTAAAGTCATGTACTTGAATGCAATTTTAATTTGTTCCCCTGCAGCTAAATGAATGTACTTGTTGAGTTTCTGTTGGAGATTTGTGCTTATATACTAGACTCAAGTTTTTTAGTGTTTATTCTTTCTGCTAGCCAATTTTCACCATAGCTCCCCTGCTGCTCCACAAAGTAGACGAAGCAAAATATCAACTAATCCCACATTATTATGCTAGGAAAAAGTGAGCTATACTGATTAATATTCCTGGAGTGGGACATATGTTGTAGAATGTCTGTGTTGTAGGTGAAAACATGCTCTATCAACCCCAATAAGGTGTGGCATCTTCATGTTAAATAGTGCTAGGCTCCTGGTTTTATACTATGTTTACACACGTATGTATGTATGTATGTATGTATTCGATGTGCAAGCTGTCCATGATGTTGTCTGCATGGTTTTGGAACTATTCATTGCTCTCCGTTGTCAGGGTATGATTGCAATCGAAAAGGATATTATCTATTTCTTAAACCAAGTTTTGTCCATGTAACATAGATCTAAATGCCTTCTTGTAGGTATTTAACTTACAGGAAAGGTATTCGCTTGGCAGCTGTGTCAATAGTTGATTGAGTGCAGTTTTAAAGTTAATAGCTCCCAGCATTTTGATCTTGGCAGTCTCCAAACGTTTTGTAATTCTATACCTACTACTGAGAAAATATATATCACCTCAACTCTTGTATTACTGAAAGGCAAAAATAAGTATCTAGTTTAATGCAGTGTTCTGTGAATAATGATTCCAACCTGAATTGCTGCCACAGAGGATGCAGCTTGCCCTCGCCCACAAAACACACATCTTGCAAAAACCTGGTCTCCGAAATAGGAATATACTTGATTTGAAAATTCTAAAATGTACTGTAAAACATGCCAGAACTTACCATCTCTAGCTGGGAATTGGCCTTTCGAGCTTCATTAGAATAATGGGAAATAACATTGATCCATTTCTCTCCCACCAAATATTGAGGTAATTGTGAAGAAGAACAATGCATAAATTATCTCAAGTTGAAGGCAATGCTGACTTAAAAATGTAAGAAATTTCAATTTTCTCACAGTTCCACCGACCGACATGGTCGTGTGGTTATGAGGAGCTGCACTCTTGGCCGCAAACTGAGTTTCAGTTGGCAAAGAAGCTGGAAGATTCTCCGAGACAAGATTTTCCTCAAAAGGTCTGCACACGGTGGAAAGGACTTCATTGAGTTCTTTAAGATAAATACAATTCTCCGTATGTAGCGTGGTCGTGGTACGTATTGATACAAGCAAGGTATCATACCCCCATTTTATAAAAATGTATATTTTCGAAATCTGAAGTATATGTATACGACAACCTGCGGTGGAGTCTGCAAAGCAGATGGAGGGGAGCACAAAGCGGGTTAAAGCTCCGACCTCGTACCACCACACAACATCCTAGACGGGCACAGCTGCGCTAAAAGGTGCGCTAGCGAACCATCAGGTCCATCTTGGGAGGCGATGAAGCAAACGGAACATCACAAGTTCCAAACCACCAGTTCGGTCCACAACGAGAAGCTGGAGCTTCTCGCTCATCGAGAGTCTTCGCCTTCAAGTGCTCCCCTCTCGACATCAGCTGAGTTTTTGGGATTCCTTTCAGGATCCCAACTTTGGCGAAACGCATTGTAAGGCAGGCGCTGCGATGGCAGCCGCCTTCATGTATCCGCCTTGTTCCCTCCGCTCAACGTGGGGCTCGATTCATAGGAGTTGTAATTGTGATGCCGTTGTACCAGGTGGGATAATTGGGAAGTTTGGTTGTCTGCAATGCTGGGTGTGTTCGTTGAGAGATTGTATATAAGGTGATTATATCTACTACTGGGCAGTGGGTATTTTGCTTGTGTCTTTTCCTTTTGAATTGCTTTAAAAACTGAGGTGCTGTCCGCGGTGTTGTGCGTAAGATGGCGGCGGGACCTAGTGCGCCTCATTCTGTGCTCTGGCATTCATTTACGTCGAATGATGTAATGCAGTAACGACAATGCTTTGTTAGTTAGACTGAACTAGAGAAATTGGAAATTGAGTGCGAGCCCGCGCAATCCGAGAACAATTGACACGATGAAAGTTGGTCTGGGATGTGGACTGCAGGTGGTGAGATACGAGGTGGGAAACAATCCACGTCCTTCTCAAGGAAATTTAGTTGTGCCCCTAAGAAACTTAGACCCTATCTTCTTTGCAAGGAATTAGAAAGATGTCGGCAGACATGGGTTTGTAGCGCACGATTTGATTTTCGTGGAAATAGCGCAGAGCAGGCAAAGGAGGAAGATGCGTCTACGCTCGCGGAGATGTCCACTCTCATTGACGATCTCTTCAAGCTCAATGAATTGGTGAACGAATCTAACAAAGGAATTGGCGCTGATGTGCGAACTAGAGTGGACGTTTTGTACAACCGTGCCACATTGCTCAAATATTCGGCAGACCGTATGGTTGCTGGCGGTGGTCGCGTTCCTTTGCAGCTCACTGCAACTCTGAAGGCATTTACCTATGCTTTTCTATCACATTCTTTGAAGAGACTGTCATTTCAATGCACCTTTGTTTTTTCCTCCTAGATATTGTGAAGCAGCTGAATCACTCTAACAACTTGGAACCGGTTGTAGTTGGGGTGCCGTCAGGCCAGAGGTCGGATCGGAGAGGAGACTGGCGATGCTGATTTCTTGACCAACTCCAAACAAGCTGACAATATTGTTTGCGTGCTTGCAGGGTTTGCAAAGGGAGCATGCCTCCGTGGAAAATATTGTTCGACTTGCGATGGAGGCCGGACCAGTTCTCACTGATACCGAAGACCCACCTAGCAAGGTGAACCCCTTCTCAAAGGAAGTGGAAGTCGAGCCAACAATAAATGCAGTACCTAGTGATGATCAGAACCAAACTTTGGACATTGTTGTGAAAGAGAAGGAAGAAGAAAAAGCAGCTTTATTCGAGTCACTCACTCGACAAAGTTCTCTGAAAGCAGCGCTTAAGCCTACAACGTCTGCGACAGGAAATTATGCCATGAGTACACCGGCAGCTGAAGTAAGACTTCTTCTTTGGATGTTTGTTTTTATGCTCCCCTATGTAGTCACTTTGACAGAGACTTTACCAGCCAAGAGACTTTTGTGGTTTGTATGAGGTTGGCTGTTTTTATCTTTGTTAGGACTCTTTTAGATTAATTTCCTTGGGAGGTGCTATTCCTGATCAGCTATTCTCTTCCAGGATTCTTCACCACTTGCAGCGTTTCGGAAGGAGATAGAGCGACGGGTTATGGAACAGGTGCGGTGCCTCGTTCGCTGTTGGTAGCTACCAAGTTAAATCGAATCGTGCAGCCATGCCAATCACATTACTTTGTTGTGGAAAGTGAATCCCGCGTTCATTGTTGGTGTCATTTGCACTACTTTTGACTGGGTTGTCTTAAAGCTCACACTTACTGTGTTATTATGCAGCTTGCTGGGAATAAGGTGTCAACGACGGACCCAAGTGTTCCTGAGAAAGAGGAGGACAAAGCATCGACTGAAGGAGATGCAACGCCACAGAACAATAGTGTTTTTGGACTGCTTCAGGTTAGCTTTGCATTGCTAAAACCTTTCTTGACGGTTGCTTGAACATCTACCTCACGCGTGTTGATTAAGGAGACGTCCTACTTCGCTGAGAAAATGGAATGGCTTCCTGTCCGCTCATTCATATACAGGCTGCCCGTAGTTCAACTTTAGTACTTGTGGAAGGACGTCATGTGAAGAGGCTTCTTAAAAGCATTGAGACATAGCTAAATAGATCGAGCCAGCCCGCGTACTCCTCCCATCGAGTGGGAGTTCATGTCAGTTGGTGCGTAGTACTTGCACCACAACATAAAGTTAAAGAAATGAGGAACTGTAGAATCAAGGGCCTGAAGGCTATCTCTGCAACAGAAAGTGCTAGCCTGATACTTTCACGATCTCAAATGCAGGCTTAAGTGTACACCACAGACAGCCTGCTATTCATCAAGAAGTCAATCCCTGGGCCTTGACTGAACTGGCCATCTTTCATTATGTAGAACCTCCCATTGAGAGGACGGCTGCCACGGAGGCGTGCTAAGGGAGCAACAAAGAACGAACTAAAATCAGTCGAAACGGATAGTGGTGAGGTTGAGGAAGCTCAACTTCAGACATCGGAGGCAACAGAAACCTCGAGCAGGTAATTTTGAATGACACAACTATCAACCCACATTCACGTATCACGTCTACTTGGAAGACTGGTTAGTTGGGGCTAGACCTCAGGGATGTCTATGATAGGGTAAAAACGAGATTTTTAGATAATGACTAGCAACTCTATTGTGAAATAATCTTGTCAATACTTCCATGCTCTGCGCATCGGTTTTATGGTAACCAGTGCCGAAGGGCTATATCTGTCGTCGTGTTACTTTATCAAACTGACGGTGTTCATCCTTCATGGTGCTGAAGTGTGGCAGATGTAGAGCAGGAGCCAAGCGCAGTGGACACAGAAACTAACTCGAGGGAGTTAGATAAGTTGAAAGGTGATCTGGTAGTTCTTGAGCAGCAGTTGGCGGATGCTAAAGAAGGTTCAACTAGGGCAGAGAAAGCGGAGGCACAATTGCAGCAGTTGTCACAGGAGATGGAGGCGACTGTGCCCTTGGACTTCCATGAGAAAGCGGTGAGAATCTGATGAATATTTTTAGTTGTGCTTTAGACTTGGCTGAAGAGAAATGAGGCTGTGAGTTTGTTAGTTTGAGAATTTTTTAATTAGTATCTTCAAAGTTCTAATATGTCTTACTGCTTGGAGCAGGTTAGGGTGGAAAGACAGTCACTATTGGCGGCCCGAACAAAGATTGAACAAGTTACCGCTGAGCTAAAAGAGAAGGAATCCATTTTGAGTGCTATAAAGCAAGATATGACCGCTGAGCAGGATAAACTTCTGACCAAGGTATAGCTGTTCATGGTGTGTTATTGTTAGAAAAAGTGGTTTAGGATTCTTGTGCTAAGCCTAGGACTGTAGTTCGAACGAAGATCTTCCTTCGTAAGTTTGGCGCGTCTGTGCGGGACTGCATTGACAATCATGGTATGAAATTTGCTTATCAACCTCATGCCATGTTCCTTAAGGTGAAGGAGTTGTCTGGTGAACTCTCTAAGCGAGTAAGTGTGAAGGAAATTGAGGCTGCTGTGAATAGCGCTGTGCGCGAGTTGGAGGAGGAATTGAGAAATGCTTTAAAGAGAGCCGAATCCTTGAAACTCGAGTTGGAGACAAATGAAAAATTACTAAAGAAACTCCAAAAAGAATGGGTTGTGGAAAGAACTAGTTTACGTGGGGAGATTGCGAATGTAAAGGAGAAGTTGACAACCCTGCAGACGGAAAAGGCTGCAGACAGGGCCAAACTGGATGAAGCATTAGATAAGGTATCTACATTCTCTTATCTTAAATCAAAGTTGAGCGACTACATTGATGGTAGTTCATTTCGAAAACATGTTTTGGAACTCGTGGATGCTTGCTGTCACTCAAGTGCCTAGTTTGTAGCCAAGATTGTTCTCGTCTGTTTCTGATTTATTTAGCCCGGTTGGGTGATGTTATCCAGAATATCAATTCTTATGAAGTGTACTTTACTTTTCAGGTGAAAGGATTGGAGGGCTTAGTGGCCAAGTTGCAGCAGTCAATGATAGAGGCAGAAGAAGAAAGGATAAGGAGAGAGAAAACTGTTCTTGCGACTGTGAGGTCACTTGTTGCGGATATGGTGAAGGCAAAACGTGCACAAGCCAACAGCGGCACACTTGAGTCGAGATTAGTAGAAGCCACGAAATCATTAGATGGAAATGATAAAAGTGAAGATTCTGAACCACGCCAGGCGAGTAGTGCTGAAGATGTACTGGGATCGATGTTTTCTGGTGAGAAAGCAATTGCACTTGAGACCTTTTTTGTCATGATGGGCGTTTTGATACAACAGGAGAGCGAGAAACTGGAAACAACGGACAATCAATCCAGAGTAGACAATGCCGAGGGATCTCTTGCAGCCCAAAATGGTGGTTTCCAACGGGATTTGAGTGACATGAGAAGCTTGAAAGGTATATCCTCATGACATCCTAATGTATCATAAGACTTTGTGCTTCATTGGTTGATTTGCGCTTCAATCCCCATCTTTCGTCTTCATAGTGCACTTAATAGCTAGAGAGTGCCTTTCATGCCCGGGATAGATCGAAGGAATTTGTTTGATTTTGTTGCGGATGGGTTGTTCCGTAGAACTGCAATCAGATGACTGACAATCGCTTTGCTGTAAGTTGGTGCTAGATCTAATTTATTTGGTATGATCTCAATTCGCAGCTAACGTGGCGAAGGCAACGAAGCCCATCATTTCTTTGTATTACGAGAGCAGCTGGGAGTATGCTTATCTTCATTATTCAGTTGATGGTTCCGCGTAAGTGGACGTTGACACCACGAGTCTTTCATGAGTGGAATCTGGAAGTTGTATGAGGTAGGAATTTTAGGATTGCATATTTGAAGCGGGTTGTAAGCTTATGTTGAAAATTGTCTTTTATGCAGCTGGACGGAGTTACCTGGCGTTTGTATGCGTAACGGCATCGTTGTCAATAGCATGCCACTGAAGGTGAACTCACAGTCATTTCATGTTTATCATGAAGCTTTCTCTCTATGTTTTCCCTGTTTACTCCTACGGGTCCTCACTGGCGCACACTGATCTCACCTGAATGTATGTCATCTACAAGTTGATTTTCTGGGACCACCTCAGTTGTCTTGATTAAACCCTGACATCTTTTGTCAAGGGTCTGCAGGTTATAGACGTTGAGGGTGATTCAATCGAGTTCGTTTTGACGGACGGAAGAGGCTCTTGGGACTGGTAAGCTTAGTCTTTCCTCGGTGTCTACATGGTTTTTTCTACGATCAAATGTTCTTCGCTTTATATATCTCATCAGAAATGCGTCGTGCTTGCCTCTGTAGTACTCTAGGAGCTCTCGGCTGAAAAACTTGAAGAGCAGACTTTAGAATAGATTTGGAATTGTTTGATCATTTGGCTTAAGTCCTGACTTGAAGTTCAAACACCACCGGGTTCCCTTAATTCTTGTCATTGATTAAATTCGGGAAACGCCGTATCAGTCACCCAAGTGGAGGCAACTACCACATCAGGAGCAGCGGAACATTTCTACTATCTTCAGGAATCATTGAGCAGAAGAGGTGATCTAGCATTCACTACCGATTGAAACTATCTGAGAGTATTATTCTGTGTAGATTCCACGTTTCTGGATTTCATCTGGATGGATATCTAACAGGCAGGAGTTGTGGAGATGTGCTCTACTTTTCTTCCACCAGATTGTGAATAGTTGCAGCTACCTCATAGTCTACTGCATGACGAGTATGCTGATAAGGTTGGTGCGCACATCAGTTGGTGTCTAGATTAATGCAGACGAGATAAACTTGTAGGATACAATTTACAATCTTCTAATAGAGACACTAACCAGAGGATCTGTGCTATTATTTTCCCTCTGTTAAGTCATGCTTACTCCTAAAGATACCAATACTGATTTTTTGATTAAAATGCAATTGATGTGGATTTTCTAGCTTTGGATACTTCTCTTGCAAAATATGATCTCTCTGACATATAAAATATGGATGAGACATGACTTTTTCTATTGTATGATGCTCAACATGACAATTGCTCAATAGCAAATTATAAGCTACAAAAAATAAAAATAAAAATTACACTTGCATTCTCCACAAATACAAGTAGAAGTCACAAGGTGCTTTCTTTTTTTACTGGCTATGCAAACATGCCTCACTACTTCAACCACCACTTAGACAACTCAAGTTTTATTATTGCCCTACTAAAAAAGACTGGATAACTTGAGTTTTTTTTTTCTAAGAATTGCTAAATGGACAAATATGTAGTGATATTTATATACTAGTGCCCCTTGAATGCAGCATTTGATAATATTTGAAAGCATTTGCTGCATTCAAGGGGCACTAGTATCACTTTCATTTGCAAAATGCCTTTAATTGCAATGAGTACAAAAAATTCAAAATGTAGGAGGTTGATCATTTGATAGGAATATATTAATCACTCACAGCTTAGAATAAAATCTCTCCAACTACAATCAAGAATTGCTTTTTATGCATGTAAGCAATGTTACAAAAATTGATGTTGATGAAGTAATAGTGGAAGTCAAGGTAGTAAATATACTTCAAATCTTCTATTGTAAAGTTCAATGTTGATAGAGAATCTCCTCAATCCAATCAAAGAAAATAGTATGACATACATTGAACTAGAGGACTAAAAGATTATTAAACTTATTTACCAACATGAAGCCAATCAAGGTAAGGATACCACTAATATTCTTCAAAGGAGCCATTGTCAGCATCATTTGAGCATATAGAGAAACTTCAAGGACTATTAATTGTTATCTCTATGCTCAATGTTGCTGACCAAAGTAATTATGTTCTATACAAGAGACTTTGCAATATTTTTATCAGCAGTTGCACATAGAAAATCTACAACAAAGTATTCTTAATTTATCACTGGAATAATTACATATTACATATTTTCTCCTTTCCTTTCAGTTTTGCTTCTATCTATTTTTTTTTCTACTAAGTTATATTCTATTGTTATAGCTATAACTTATAATTTAATAAAAATATAACTTAAACATTATAGAACCATGTTAATTCCACTATTTTTCTATAACTTTGTAAAGGTTATAATTTAGTGGGAAATAACTTAGTAGAGATAATATTATATATATATATATATATATATATATATATATATATTGTTTGATTATTGTAATTTGTTCTTATAACTTAATAATTTACTATAATTTTTTTGTGCATAATTTAAATATTTTAGTATAATATATGCAATGAATTAAATGTTGTCATTTTGCAAAGACTACTTATTAGAAATAATTAGATTTCTAATGATTATTTTTTATTTATTAAAAATTAAAAAATATTATGAATAATAAATATTAAATTGTATCATGATGGTATTAAAAAAATGATATGGATAAATGATATATTAATAAATTTAAAAGATACTAATAATAATAAAACTTAAAAATAATAAAATATAATTAAAGAATTTAAATATTTATGTTTACAAGTTGTATGGGGTTGAAAATTTAAATGTTAATACTATCCTCTCTTCTAAGCTATTAATTTATTAGAATAAGAAGAAATAATTAGAACATCTTATAGTTGAAGAATATTTTTTTATTTTTAAGAATTATTTTTTTAGTTAAAATTTCAATAAAATTACATAATTTTTTAAAAATTTATTACTACATCTATTTTATTTTTTGTAATCTTACCAATTTACAAATAAATAATGCAAATACAAAAATTTATTAAAAAAATGTCTATTTGTTTTAACATATAACCTTCATTAACCTTATATAATTTATTTATAACAAGCAAGTATCTCTAGAATTAAAAAAATTAAAAAACTTAATTAACCTTTGATTCTAATAAAAGTTTTGTTTAATTAATATAAGTTATATTTAATATATTCTTTGATATAAATTTAAAAAAATATTTATTAGCAAGCCTTTGTATCAAAGCTGATTGTATTCAAGGAGATGTTTTAAGCTTTTGTGATATTTAGATAAAGTTGTAAAATACATCTCTTAAATATATTTTTTATTTGTGAAAAAAAAGTGATAAAAAATAAAATTTATTAAATCTTTCAAGAATTGAATATATATAGTTTTAAAGATAAATAAAAAAGCATTTTTATAAAATACAACTTAAAAATTTCAAACAAATAAAAAGATAAAGAAAATAAAAATTAATTATTTTTTATGACTATGAATTCTACAAGCTCTTTTTCTTTTAATATATATATATATATATATATACATAAAAATTTACTAATAAAAAAATTGTAAGAGGACAAGACTATTCTAGATGAGAACTTTGATACATGCTTCCATCACCAATTCATTCACATTTAAGGAACATAATGAATTAGAAATAAAAATGAAAAAGACTCAAAATATTTATTTAAAATAACGACATCACCACAATCATTTTTTTTGTCTCATAATACTCTACACTATTCCATTGGATACATTTCATATGACTTTATTACAAATAATACTTTATAAGACCATTCTTAATTTGTTGTTGGAGCATGTGATATTTAATATCTACATCCTTGGTTTGTGAATGAAACTTAAGATTAACTGCCAATTGGATTGTACATTAAGAATCAAAGTAAAGAATGATATCTTTCTTGTGAAGAAATCTAATTTTTGCTAGCATTTGTTGACATCATATTATCTCTTTTATAGCCATATAGCAAGCAATATATTTGAAATATGTAGTACTATCAACTAAAAAATCTTATTTCTTTGAATTCCAATTAATGGTTCAGCCATTCAAGAATAAAAATATAACCTTTTTGTGATTTTCGATCATCCAAATTAGCAACATAACCAGTATTATTAAATGCAATAAGTAGAGTTGAAGAATTTTTCTTTCTACATATAAGTTTAAAATCCAAAATTATCCAAATATACCAAAGTATCTTCTTAATAGTATTATGATGAATTTGAATAAATTTTGACTTAAAACAAGCAAAATTATTTACTAAAAAGGTAATATCAAGTTGAGTACCTTTTGAAGCAAACTAAAGATTGCCAATTGTATTGACAAAAAGAAAATTTTCAAAAAATTCTATATCATCAAATTTAATACCACAAAAAAAGAATTAGAATTTTTAGAGTCAAAATGGATGAAAATTCAGAGAATCCATATTTACAAAGAATTCTCTACATATAAGCATATTAATGTATGAAAATGAGTCTAGCAAAAGAATCATGTTCAATTTACAACTCCACGTAAATATCTAGATCATTGAATTTTGTTTCAAAGATATTGTTTATTGTCATAAGAACATATTGAATGCATCGGGTAACTTGGCAACAACACAAACCATCATCATTAAACATGATGACAATGAGCTTACTATATGTGTTAGAATAATAGACACAAAAATTGGTAGCATTTTACTTAAGCTTATGGATTGCTAAAAATTGATTTGTGCATTCATTCCATGTGTAGCTTGCTTGTCTCAAACTATAATGCCTTTTTTAAGGAATATACCTTATAAAAAAACTAAAGATCTTATAATTTAGGAACTTACTTCATATATGTTTTTTGTTTGAATTGACCATGCAAAAAGATAGTCTTGATATTGAACTATCAAATATGCATGATCTTGTGTATAATAATTACAAGAATAAATTAGATAGAATGGTAGGATAATAATTTCTAGTAAAATCAACATTAAATTTTTGTGAGCAATCCTTAGCTATTAATCTTGCTTTAAAATAATCAATAATTCTATCAATTATAGTTTTAAAAGCATAGACCTACTTATAATTTTCAAATTTACATCCAAAGCACAAGTTTGTAAGCTCCCATATCTCATTGTATTGCAAAGGTTTATATCATGCTTACATTGCTTTCTTTCATTGTAAAGAATAAAGAAAATTAAGTATCTTTTGATATTATTGAAAAACCTTAAGTAGAAATTTAGATAAAGACACTAGAAAGTCTAAAGCCAAAGTAGATAGCAAAGCTATAATAAAATTTATAAAAGTATATTACAAGTCTTCTTTAGAATAGTGAAATCAATTAAGAGATTTTTGATTTTTTTAAAAAAATAAGAATTAGAAAAGGTGATTATTTTGAAATTAAATTAGTACTACATATTTCTCTTAGAAATTGACTATAAAATTCATTAGAGAAATCATTAGTGAGATCAACACTATTATCACCTATAATTGAAGTAATTCTATATTATATATATATATATATTTATCTATATGATTAAATAGAAGTGAATAAAAATAGATTCATTTTATAATATTTTCTTAAAATTTTTTTTAGAAGCTTCATAGATGTTGCTTTGACTTTATATATGTTTTTTGTTGATTGATAGGTTAGAAACTTGGTCAATAAATTAACCACGTATTAGTAGCTTATAAGATAAGCTAATTATATGGTATTCATATAAAAAACTTGCCTTGTAAGTTAAGACACATGTCTTACAAAGTCAACATGTTTTGGAGGTCCTATAGGATACTACTATGTAGTTCTTTATTAGGAATATATATGGAAGCAAGATTGAACCCTTCTTTAGTCTTGTCAATGCTTTTCTAGTCTTTAGTCTTGTTTCAAGACTTTTTAGTCTTCTTATCTTTCAAAATAGCTATTCTTGTTTAATAATATATCATCCTTGAGTGATTTTTTAGTCTTTTTAAGTGATACAAGAATGTATTGATATTTTAGTTTGAAATTCATGTCCTTGACAATTTAACAAGAGTGTTAACTTATTATTCTTATCTTATTTTTGATATGAGTGGATTATCCCACTTCTATTATTGTATTTTGAAGGTTGCAAATTATCGACTTTAAAACAAAATATTTAGTTTTTTAATTCTAATTTTTTTCCTTAAAAAAAGTAGATTATCTCTCTTTGTAGAAATTTCTATTTGATATTAGAGATTACAGATTACTTCTCTAGTTTGACTTATGGATTTATTAAGTTGTTTAAAATGGAAGAAAAA